TCACCGTGGTCACACCAAAACGACACCCGGGTGACACCGAGGACAACGCAAGGCCACTTGTGTCACCGAGTGACGACACCCGGATCACACCGAGGACAACACCAGGCCACTCGTGTCACCCGGGTGACACCGAGGACAACGCAAGGACACTCGTGTCACCGGGTCACACTGAGGACAATGCAAGGCCACTCGTGTCACCGGGTCACGACACCCAGATCACACCGAGGACCAAGCCAGGCCACTCGTGTCACCCGGGTCACACCGAGGACCAAGCAAGGCCACTCGTGTCACCGGGTAACGACACCCGGGTCACACCGAGGACCAAGCCAGGCCACTCGTGTCACTCGGGTCACACTGTGGACCAAGCCAGGCCACTCGTGTCACCGGGTCACGACACCCGGGTCACACCGAGGACAACGCCAGGCCACTCGTGTTGTCCCAGGCAGAGCTCAGCATGCACCCGGCAGGCTCCCGAGGACAGAAAAGCCATGTTCCTCCCTCCAAACTGCACCAAAAAGGGACAGAGATGGCTTTTGTCACAGCTCATCTCTCCCGAATTCCAAATTTTTCTAATTCCAAATTTTTCTAATTCCAAATTTTTCTAATTCCAAATTTTTCTAATTCATTTTTTCTAATTCCAAATTTTTCTAATTCCTTTTTCTAATTCCAAATTTTTCTAATTCCAAATTTTTCTAATTCCTTTTCCTAATTACAAATTTTTCTAATTCCAAATTTTTCTAATTCCTTTCTCTAATTCCAAATTTTTCTAATTCCTTTTTCTAATTCCTTTTTCTAATTCTGAATTTTTCTAATTCCTTTTTTCTAATTCCAAATTTTTTAATTTGGGAGCATCGCTGGCCAACACAAATGTGAGCTTTTAATCGAGGCGGCTCAGCGGGGTATTCGGTCTGTGATGGAGATCTCCTAATTAAGATTCCTGATTCAGATTAATAAATGAACACGATATTATAAATTAAATATATAAAATATATTAATATTAATATAGATATAAATATAAAAATCAAAACCATCGCCTCGGTTGTGAGACTCGAGCGCGTGTGGGAAGCCCCAGGGGTGGGACAGGTATATAAAAATAAAAATTAATATATATAAATACAAATACACTGATTTATTCCAGCTACTACACTTTGGGGGGGTCACTGATATATATATATAAATATATATAAATAAAAATAAAAATACACTGATTTATTCTAGCTACTGTACTTTGGGGTCACTGATATATAAATATATATAAATAGCTACTGTACTTTGGGGTCACTGATATATAAATATATATAAATAAAAATACAAGGGGGTCACTGATATATAAATATATATATATAAAAATACAAGGGGGTCACTGATATATAAATATATATAAATAAAAGTACAGGGGGTCACTGATATATAAATATATATAAAAAATAAAAATACACTGATTTGTTCCAGCTACTGTACTTTGGGGTCACTGATATATAAATATATATAAATATAAATAAAAATACACTGATTTATTCTGTACTTGGGGGTCACTGATATATAAATATATATAAATAAAAATACACTGATTATATAAATAAAAATACACTGATTTATTCTGTACTTGGGGGTCACTGATATATAAATATATATAAATAAAAATACACTGATTTATTCTGCACTTTGGGGGGTTGCTGATATATAAATATATATAAATAAAAATAAAAATACACTGATTTATTCTGCACTTTGGGGGGTCGCTGATATATAAATATATATAAATAAAAGTACAGGGGGTCACTGATATATAAATATATATAAATATAAATAAAAATACACTGATTTATTCTGCACTTTGGGGGGGTCACTGATATATAAATATATATAAATAAAAATAAAAATACACTGATTTATTCTGCACTTTGGGGTCACTGATATATAAATATATATAAATAAAAATACAAGGGGGTCACTGATATATAAATATATATAAAAAATAAAAATACACAGATTTATTCTGCACTTTGGGAGGTCACTGATATATAAATATATATAAATATAAATACAAATACACTGATTTATTCTGCACTTTGGGGGGTCACTGATAAATAAATATATATAAATACAAATACAAAAAGGGGTGAGATCCTGCCACATCAGGGTCATTTCTGGTCCCTGGAATGCACAGAACTTTCCAGAAGGAGCCAAAGGAGGAACATGGCTTTCGTGTGCATGCAGGTGTCACATCAAACTCCCTGACCCAGCCGAGAGCAGAGCAAGCTCCTGGAAATGCAGATTGCTATGGAGAGAAAAGCAAAGAACTCCGGTTTCAGCCTCCTTTTAAAAGGTATTTCAGAAATGAATTCCCTGGAATTCACAGGAATTGCTCTGGTTGGATGGAGAACTGATATTTGTCTCCAAAAATAAAGAATTGGGTGTAGTTTTCTGACAGGGCTGCACTCCTAACCAGCAATTTTTGGTGAAAATCCCCCTTATTTAAATGTGAGAATTCCCTGATTGTACATCAGGAATCTTCTCCCCAGCAGGGCTTAAAAACTTCTGTTTTCTCAGGTATTTATTATTTATTTTTATATAGAAATAAAAACTTTTATTTCCTCAGGTTTATTATTTATTATTTATTTTTATATAGAAATAAAAATTTTTATTTCCTCAGGTTTATTATTTATTATTTATTTTTCTGTAGAGATAAAAACTTTTATTTTCTCCAGCTTTATTATTTATTATTTATTATTTATTATTTATTATTTATTATTTATTATTTATTATTTATTATTTATTATTTATTATTTATTATTTATTTTTCTATAGAAATAAAACTCCAGGTTTATTATTTATTTTTCTATAGAAATAAAAACATTTATTTTCTCCAGGTTTATTATTTATTATTTATTTTTTATTTATAATTTATTTTTTTCTTAAAAATATTATGATTATATTATTATTTATATTTTTTGTATTTTATTATTTATATTTTTTATTTATTTATTATTTATTTTTCTATAGAAATATTATTTATTATTTTTTTTTATAGAAATAAAAGCTTTTATTATTTATTATTTATTTTTCTATAGAAATAAAAGCTTTTATTTTCTCCAGCTTTATTATTTATTTTTCTATAGAAATAAAAGCTTTTATTTTTCTCCAGGTTTATTATTTATTTTTTATTTTTATATGGAAATATTATTTATTTTTTATTTTTCTATAGAAATAAAAGCTTTTATTTTCTCCAGGTTTATTCTTTATTAATCCCTTGGTTTTGGAGCTCAGGGGTTTTTATCCCTCCCCAGCTCCTGAAAATCCTTAAATTTAAAATAATCTTTTAAATTTAATCTTTTAAATTTAATCTTTTAAATTTTAAATTTTAATCTTTTAAATTTAAAATAATATTTTAAACCTTTTAAATTAAAACCAGCTATCCCCTTCCTTTATCCTTTAAATAAATGTGATTTTCTTGCATTATCCTCTGGTTATAACTGGGATTTAACCCCACATACTTAAAGAGCACCTGCAAAATCCATTTATACAAAATTGATTTCTTTTTTTTTACTACATAATTTATATTTTTGATTTCCTTTTTTTTTACCACTTAATTTATATTTTCGATTTCTTTTTTTACTACATAATTTATATTTTTAATTTCTTTTTTTTACTACATAATTTATATTTTTGATTTATTTTACTACATAATTTATATCTTTGATTTTTTTTTACTACATAATTTATATTTTTGATTTCTTTTTTTACTACATAATTTATATTTTTAATTTCCTTTTTTTTAATACATAATTTATATTTTTGATTTATTTTTTTTAATACATAATTTATATTTTTGATTTATTTTTTTACTACATAATTTATATTTTTGATTTCTTTTTTTTACTACATAATTTATATTTTTGATTTCTTTTACTACATAATCTATATTTTTGATTTATTTTTTTACTACATAATTCATATTTTTAATTTCTTTTTTTTTACTACATAATTTATATTTTTTGCCTGTTCTTAGGAGACTTTTTCAATCCCAAATGGGGAAAAAAAATTTTAAAAAAAGCAGCAAAATGTCAGAATTTCAGTGGCTGCAATTGAAATATAATAAAATAACAATTGAAACACCCGAGGGAGTGGTGCCAGCACCAATTCAAGGAAAGCTTTTGTGAAGTTCAATGCTTTTGCTTTGTTTCTGGTTCCACAGTGACGCGACAGGGGACCAAAAAAAGCGTGGAAAAATAAAAAGGAAAAAGGACAAAAAGGAAAAATTTCACCACCAGACAAGGCTGCCATTCACCACCAGACCAGACTGAGAACAACGAGGTGCAACGAGAGGAACGAAACCGAAATTTCCAAAGAGCTCAGCTCCCCCCTTGAAGCTTTTTTCCCCCCCTTTTTTTAACAAAAAAAAATCCCCCTTTAGACAAAAAAAAAAAAATCATTCAATCCAATTCCACCAACACCTGGAAAAATCCAGAAAAAAAAAAAACCCAAAAAACCCCTGAGATGGTTCCAATTCTGGAGTTTTTTTTTTTTTATTTTTGCACCTGGTGATTCTCCCTAAAAATCAAAAATTCCTCAAAAAAGCTGAGAAGCTCCTCGGATGCTGGAGGTCAAAGCCAGGCCAAATGAGAACAGCCAAGTGGCGACATGGGCTAGGAAATGGCAAAGTGCTTTTGGGCCGCTAATTAATGTAATGAGGCAGCTGATGCATCTCCCTTCGTTAAGAGGGGAGGGTGCAGCGGCGGGCGAGGCTCACATCCAACGTGGAGGTGATCGAGTCAGCAGCTGCCATCGTGATTCTGTTGGGAATTTTTTTCTTTCTTTTTTTTTTTTTTGGATCGGTTCTAGCATGCTTTTAAAAAAATCAAACGGCTCCACGGGCATGCAGAAGGATCGGCTGCTGACGGAATTCTTACCCTCATCCCCTCAAATCGGGATAACGCTCTTAAAGGCCTCAAGGCTCTTAGGGTCCTAAGGGATTTTATGGCACCTAGTTCCGAGTAGCCCAGGGCATTAGCTATAAGGCTGACTAAAGAGACCTACACAGAAAATAGAAAAGAAATAGAAAAAAAGCAAAGAAGGGGAGAGAGAGAAAAAAAAAAAAGACACAAAAAAAAAAAAAAATCGGAAAAAAAAGCCAAAAAAAAACCACAAAAAAGTGAAAAAAAATTAAATAAAATAATAAAAAAAAAAAGACAACAAAACGACAACAACAAAAAATAAAGAAATAAAAAAAAAAAAAAAGAAAAAAAGAAAAAAATGTTCCAGACTGTTAGATTGGATCCCCTAACCCTGATTGCCCAGCCCAGGAGCCACCTGGGCCGCCCCAAATACCGAAGCCATGACACCAGCTGCCTACTTCACTTGACTGAACCGACCTGGAAGGAAATAATGCGGTTGAGAAAAGAACAGAAGGGGAAGAGATCAGTGAAAAACAAAAAAAAGAGAGAGAGGAGGAAGAAGAAGAGACACACACTGAGAAGAAAAAGAGAGAAGGGGGCTGTTGGAAGGAAGGAAGAGCCCAAACGATGACAAAAACCTTACCCTCGCCCTTTACCGGCTGCAGGGATCCCGGCGGCGCCCATGAAATTTAAGCCAGACAAATGTTAAAGGTACCTGTGAGAAAGAATACAGATAAATACAAACACTGCACACCTGGGAAATTCCACTCTGGAATTCCTCAGAGGCTTTTTCCAGCTCCTCCTGCCTCCCCCGGGCCGGGGCGGGCGATGAGGATTGGGGGTGTTCTCTCCCCTGATCCCGCTTGGGTTGAGATGGAGAATTGCTGATCCGTTTCCCGGTGGTTTTCCAAGCATGGAGACGGACCACAAGCCAGTTCAGCCCAGTATAAACCAGTGTAACCCAGTACAGCCCAGTAAAATCCAGTAAAACCCAGTAAAACCCAGTAAAACCCAGTAAAACCCAGTACAGAGCGGTGTTTCACCGGCTCATGCGGCTGTGCCGAGGTTGGGATTGGGGGGAAACCGGGAAAAATCGGGAAAAATGAGGATGGGATAGAACAGGAAAAATCAGGAAAAATGAGGATGGGATAGAACAGGAAAAATCAGGAAAAACGAGGATGGGATAGAACAGGAAAAATCAGGAAAAATGAGGATGGAATGGAGGAAAATGGGAGAACCAGGAAAAACTGGGAAAAACGAGGATGGGATAGAACAGGAAAAATCGGGAAAAACAAGGATGGGATGGAGGAAAATGGGATGGAACAGAAAAAATTGGGAAAAACGAGGATGGGATGGAGGAAAATGGGATAGAACAGGAAAAATCAGGAAAAATGAGGATGGAATGGAGGAAAATGGGAGAACCAGGAAAAACTGGGAAAAACGAGGATGGGATAGATCAGGAAAAATTGGGAAAAACGAGGATGGGATGGAGGAACCCAGTAAAACCCAGTACAGAGCGGCGTTTCACCGGCTCATGCGGCTGCCGAGGTTGGGATTGGGGGGAAATCGGGAAAAATCGGGAAAAATGAGGATGGGATAGAACAGGAAAAATCGGGAAAAACGAGGATGGGATGGAGGAAAATGGGATAGATCAGGAAAAATCGGGAAAAACGAGGATGGGATGGAGGAACCCAGTAAAACCCAGTACAACCCAGTACAGAGCGGCGTTTCACCGGCTCATGCGGCCGCCGAGGTTGGGATTGGGGGGAAATCGGGAAAAATTGGGAAAAACGAGGATGGGATAGAACAGGAAAAATTGGGAAAAATGAGGATGGGATAGAACAGGAAAAATCGGGAAAAATGAGGATGGGATGGAGGAAAATGGGATAGAACAGGAAAAATTGGGAAAAACGAGGATGGGATGGAGGAACCCAGTAAAACCCAGTAAAACCCAGTAAAACCCAGTACAGAGCGGCGTTTCACCGGCTCATGCGGCTGCCGAGGTTGGGATTGGGGGGAAACCGGGAAAAATTGGGAAAAACGAGGATGGGATAGAACAGGAAAAATTGGGAAAAATGAGGATGGGATGGAGGAAAATGGGAGAACCAGGAAAAATTGGGAAAAACAAGGGTGGGATGGAGGAAAATGGGATAGAACTGGAAAAATTGGGAAAAACGAGGATGGGATGGAGGAACCCAGTACAACCCAGTACAACCCAGTACAACCCAGTACAGAGCGGCGTTTCACCGGCTCATGCGGCTGCCGAGGTTGGGATTGGGGGGAAACCAGGAAAAATTGGGAAAAAATGAGGATGGGATGATGGGATAGAGCAGGAAAAATTGGGAAAAACGAGGATGGGATAGAACAGGAAAAATCAGGAAAAATGAGGATGGAATGGAGGAAAATGGGAGAACCAGGAAAAACTGGGAAAAACGAGGATGGGATAGAACAGGAAAAATCGGGAAAAACAAGGATGGGATGGAGGAAAATGGGATGGAACAGAAAAAATTGGGAAAAACGAGGATGGGATGGAGGAAAATGGGATAGAACAGGAAAAATCAGGAAAAATGAGGATGGGATGGAGGAAAATGGGATAGAACAGGAAAAATTGGGAAAAATGAGGATGGGATAGAACAGGAAAAATCAGGAAAAACGAGGATGGGATGGAGGAACCCAGTAAAACCCAGTACAACCCAGTACAACCCAGTACAGAGCGGCGTTTCACCGGCTCATGCGGCTGCCGAGGTTGGGATTGGGGGGAAACCGGGAAAAATTGGGAAAAATGAGGATGGGATGGAGGAAAATGGGATAGAACAGGAAAAATCGGGAAAAACGAGGATGGGATGGAGGAAAATGGGATGGAACAGGAAAAATTGGGAAAAACGAGGATGGGATGGAGGAAAATGGGATGGAACAGGGCTGGGATGAGGGGAAATGGCCACCTGGATTCCCAGGAATTGCTTTTCCCGGGGTTTTTATCACATCCCTAAACCAGAATCTCCACTTTTCCCCGTTTTTACCCAATCCCAGCTCCAGAATTCTCCGTTTTTTTTCCATTCCAGGTGTTTTCTCCCCTTTTCTCCCCACCCCAATTTTCCTCCCGTTTTTCCCAATTTCCCCCCCCAATTTCCTCTCATCCCAACCCCGTTTTATCCCATTTTTCCCCATCCCATCCCCTTTTTGCTGGGTTTTTCCCCCCAATCCCAGCACTGGTGAAGCACTGGGATGAACTGGTTTATACTGGGCAAACATTTTGGCTCTAAACCTGAATTCTCAGATCTCCTGAAAGCCACCAAGTCACGAAAACGGCGACAGACACAGCACAGCAGCTGCCACAATTCCCATTTTTCCTCAGACAGAAAAGGAGACGCGAATCCTTTTTAAGATGAAATTAAAAAAGACATCCAAATACAGAAATAAACAAAAATAAACCCAAAAAATGCCTCCTCCTGGAACAGGTGGGGGTTTGAGCTGGATTCTCAGAATAGGAAATTTCCTGGGGATCAGTTTTTTCATAGAAAAAATTAGAATTAAATGATAATAATAATAATAATAATAATAATAATAATAATAATTAGTATATTATATATAAATATATGTTAATATATAATATACTACATATTATATAATATATATAAAATATAATAGATAATTTATAATAAATATATAGAAATATAATAAATATATAGGAATATGTATTTATATATAATATAAAATATATTCATATATAATATAATAAATATATGGAAATAGATAATTATAATATATATTTATATGAATATATAATATATAATAAATATATCTATATGATAAATATAGAAATATAAATATATAGAAATAGATATCTTTATATAATATATAAAATATATTTATATAAATATATAAAGGCTTTAAGGTCCCTTCCTTAAAAATCCAAACTAAAATATCTAATTCAATATAAAACTTGGGTGGATTTGGAGATGTGGTTTATTTACCAATTAAAATAAATAAAAATAAAATAAATTATTTTAAATTTAACACTGGGAGTGCCCAAGGAAGGGGCTTGGAGCACCCTGGGGTAACGGGATGAGCTTTATGGTCCCTTCCTTAAAAATCCAAAATAAAAATAGAATATCCAATATAAAATTTGGATGGATTTGGAGATGTGGTTTATTTACCAATTAAAATAAATAAATAAAATAATAAATAAAATTAATTATTTTAAATTTAACACTGGGAGTGCCCAAGGAAGGGGCTTGAAGCACCCTGGGGTAACGGGATGAGCTTTATGGTCCCATCCTTAAAAATCCAAAATAAAAATGTAATTCAATATAAAATTTGGATGGATTTGGAGATGTGGTTTATTTACCAATTAAAATAAATAAATAAAATAATAAATAAAATAAATTCTTTTAAATTTAACACTGGGAATGCCCCTAGAAGTGCCCAAGAATGGGGCTTGGAGCACCCTGGGGTAACGGGATGAGCTTTAAGGTCCCTTCCTTAAAAATCCAAAATAAAAATAGAATATCCAATATAAAATTTGGATGGATTTGGAGATGTGGTTTATTTACCAAGTAAAAGAAATAAAAATAAAATAAATTCTTTTAAATTTAACACTGGGAATGCCCAAGGAAGGGGCTTGGAGCACCCTGGGGTAACGGGATGAGCTTTAAGGTCCCATCCTTAAAAATCCAAAATAAAAATAGAATTCAATATAAAATTTGGGTGGATTTGGAGATGTGGTTTATTTACCAATTAAAATAAATAAATAAAATAATAAATAAAATAAATTCTTTTAAATTTAACACTGGGAGTGCCCAAGGAAGGGGCTTGGAGCACCCTGGGGTAACGGGATGAGCTTTATGGTCCCATCCAACTCAAACCATTCCATAATTCCGTAATTCCATCAACAAAGAACCCTCATTTTTATTTTTTTTTTTAGATCTCCTTCCCCTGGGGATAACACCTGGCTCCCGAGCAGGACGCTCAGACCACGGCAGAAAGAGCTGGAGTTTTTTAGGGATCTTTGAGGATTATTCCCTGAGGACATTCCAAGAGGAGACACAGCAGGCACCGAGGTCGGACAAAGGGAATCCCAGACTGACTGGAAAGCAGAATCCTTCATTATTACCCAGTAAAAGTCTTCACAAACACCGCCAGGAAGGCTTTGGGGATGAGGGGAATTGGACAATGCTATAGAAACCTGTAAAAATAACATCCAAGAGCGTCGTTAGGATGGTAAAAGCTCATTCCCTGCTGCCCTGGCCCCTTCCGCGACACAATTTGGGTTAAAAAAAGGTGATTCGACACATCCAGCACACGAAGCATCGCTGATGGGTATTTTGGCATATCAAAGTCACATTTTAGATTTTAATTTTAATTTTTTTTTTTAGGGAAAAACTGTTCTGCGACACCAAGGGAAAACAGGAATTCCTCCTGAAGCCCTGGGGATTTTAAATCCTTCTACATTTGTTCCCCTCGCTCTTCCCTTCCTGCCTGGGAAGTTCCAGAACTTTCTTCCACTCCCAGACACGTGGGAAGGAAATCAAACTTGTGCCAGATCTGCCCCTTTAAGCTGAATTTCATCCAAAATTTAAAATATTGGAATTAAACTCGTATTTTATCCTCAGGCAGAGAGAGAGAGATCCAGGGTTAAACCGTCAGAAAATAAAATTTATCACGCGGCAGGTTGTGTCCAAGGAAAGGTTTTGAGGGGATCATTATTTAAAAAAAATGAAAAGAAAATTTCAAATTTCATTTTTCCTACAGGAAACACAGAGTTTGAGTCACTTCTGGCCCTGAATTCCAAGCATAGCTCCTTCCACCTACTCAGGAATATTTCCAGAGTGAAAACTGAACAGCAGCTGAATCATACACAGAGTGTTCCAAGGGGTAAAAAAAAAAACAAAATAAAATTGGTGATTCTTTTTTAACATTTCTTGCTCTTGGGGCACTCACTGGAGCCACTCAATCCCAGATGGATGTGATGAAATATTTTAAAAGGATTCAGGGATTCTGGATTTTCTTCCTTCTGAAATTTCCTACACGACAGCATTGATTCCATCAGTTTTAAATTCCCTCGCTAAAAACTAAACCAAATTTATTGCTAAAACTTCTCTCTTTTGACTTTTTTTTTCTTTTAATTTTATCATTTATTCTCTCTTCTTTTTTTTTTTTTAATTTTTTTTTAAATTTTTTTTTTTTTTAATTTTATTTTTTTTTTAATTTTATTTTTATTTTTTTTTAATTTTATTTTTCAGATTGATCCTCCCTCCTGCAGGGGGATTCCAGGGTGGAGCTGCCCCTCTGAGTTTTCTGCTTTGATGGGATCCTGCTGGTTTTTTTTTGGAATTTTTTTGGATTTGTGCTAAACTTTGCAAAATTAAACTCCCCAAGGATTTCCAGCTCTCAGAACAGACCTGCTGGGGTGGTGGGATGGGGAAATTTTGCTGCCTCATCACCCCCTCGTCATTAATAACTCCAGAAAACAATTAAAGAGAATTTAACCCTTTGAAATATCACCAAGAACTGCCACACCTGCTTAAAAACCTCCCAGGGGGCTCCACACACCAGCAGAACTCCTAAAAATTCTGTTTTCAGCAAAGCAAAAGAGCTGGAAAATCCTCCTTGATCCCAGAGAAATCCCAATTAAAAAAAAAACAAAACCAAATCAAATTTTTTTTTGATTTGGGGGTGTTAAAAATGCACATCGAATTATTGGCTTTTCTCAAGTATTATAATGAATATTTTATGTATAAGATTAGAAAATTTAGGTGTAATAATATGGTCTATCTCTGTTATTAATGAAACTTAGAAATAGTGGTATAATACATATATATTAAGCTATGACATAGCATTAAAATAAAAACTGCTTTTGTTTTTTTTTTTAAAGACTGAAAAAGATATAATCTTTTTTTCCTTTTTTAAATTATCTTATGCAGATGAAGCCAGCAATGACCAGAACTCTTGGAGGGGAGGGAGGAATTTATTGCATTTCTGATATCAGAATTTTATTTGATTTGAATCCTCAGTTTTATTGAGAATGTAAATCTCGATGACACCAAGAGGATTGATCTGTTGGGAAGGGGGCAAGAGAAAACTGAACAGAAGAACACCAAAGATCCTAAGAAAAACGTATGGATTTGGATGAGAATTTATGGATTTGGATGAGAATTTATGGATTTGTATAAGAATTTATGGATATGGATGAGAATTTGTGGATAAGAATTTATGGATTTGTATGAGAATTTATGGATTTGTATGAGAATTTGTGGATAAGAATTTATGGATTTGTATAAGAATTTATGGATTTGTATGAGAATTTATGGATTTGGATGAGAATTTGTGGATTTGTATGAGAATCTGTGGATTTGTATAAGAATTTATGGATTTGTATGAGAATTTATGGATTTGTATGAGAATTTATGGATTTGTATAAGAATTTATGGATTTGTATGAGAATTTGTGGATCTGTATAAGAATTTATGGATTTGTATGAGAATTTATGGATATGGATGAGAATTTGTGGATATGTTTTGTTCTGTTTTTAAGGAACAATCCTTTATTAACAAGGTGAATGCAGAAACCCCCAACCCTATCTCCACACTTTACTTTTTCCTCCTAATTTAGACTGAATTAAGATTAATTGCTTTTTTATTAAAAAAAAAATTTAAATCCTATAAAAACCACGTGAACCTCGTTTTTCACAGGGGAATTCACAGACACCTGGGATGGAGCTGCTGTTAAATGCAGGATGTGAGGAGGATGGAGCTGCTGCCAAACCCAGGATTCGAGGAGGAAACACCCCCAGCAAGCAGAAGGAAAGGAGGAGAGGATACATACAGCCACGATGAGGAAATCCAGCCAGCACCAGGCGTTGGTGAAGAACTTGACGAAGCCGTAGGCGCACCACTTGAGCAGCATCTCCAGGATGAAAATGTAGGTGAAGACTTTGTCTGCGTACTCCAGGATGGTCCGGATGGTTTTCCTCTGCTCGATGTAAATATCCTCGAAAGCCTGCGGGAAAACAAGGGGGAGGTCATTAAATGGGGTTTATTCCATGCCATGGGGAAAGCCTGCGGGAAAACAAGGGGGAGGTCATTAAATGGGGTTTATTCCATGCCATGGGGTTATATTATTATTATTATTATTATTATTATTATTATTATTATTATTATTATTATTATTATTATTATTATATTGTTGTTATTATTATTATTGTTATTGTTATTATTACTGTTATTATTTCAATATTATTATTGTTATTGTTATTATTGTTATCGTTATTATTGTTATTATTATTATTGTTATTATTTCATTATTATTATTGTTATTGTTATTATTGTTATTATTATTGTTATTATTATTATTGCTATTATTATTATTGTTATTATTTCATTATTATTATTGTTATTGTTATTATTGTTATTGTTATTATTGTTATTGTTATTATTGTTATTATTATTGTTATTGTTATTGTTATTATTATGGGGTGCTCGTGTCATTAAATGGGTTTATTCCATGGCATGGGGTTATTGTTATTGTTATTATTGTTATTATTATTGTTATTATTATTATTGCTATCGTTATTATTATTGCTATTGTTATTGTTATTATTATGGGGTGCTCGTGTCATTAAATGGGGTTTATTCCATGCCATGGGGTTATTTTATTATTGTTAATATTATTATTATTATTATTACTATTACTATTACGGTTATTACTATCATTACCATTATTATCATTATTATCATCATTATTATCATTATGGGGTGCTCATGTCATTATATGGGATTTATTCCATATCATGGGGTTATCCCATTACTATTATTATTATTATTATTATTATTATTTTTATTATTATTATTATTATTATTATTATTACTACTACTACTACTACTACTACTATTACTACTATTATTATTATTATTATTGTTATTGTTATTATTATTATGGGGTGCTCGTGTCATTAAATGAGATTTATTCCATACCATGGGGTTATGCCATTACTATTATTATTATTATTATTACTATTATTATTAAAATCATCATTATTATTATTATTACAGGGTGCTCATGTCATTAGATAGGATTTATTCCATATCATGGGGTCATCCCATTATCATTATCATTATCATTATCATTATCTTTATCTAATTTAAAAAGAAAAGATAAAATTTTAAAATTTAAATAAATAAATAAATAAATTTTAAAAATTTATAGGAGTTTTTATAAAAAAATTATGAGAAATATATATAAAATGTATATAAAAATTAATATAATGTAATGTAATATAATATAGAATAGAATATATTAATGATATATTAAATATATACTATTATACTATTATATAATATATAGTATATAATATATAATATATAATATATAATATATAATATATAATATATAATATATAATATATAATATATAATATACAATAAAATGTAACAAAATATATTATATATTATATATAATGTTATGTAATATTATATAATATATATAATACAGAATATTTTTCTAAAATAGATAAATATAGTTTATATAAAATATATTTATATAATAAATATATATATTAATATAGATGAAAAATTTAATAAATATATATAATATATATATAAATTTATATAAAAAACATAGAAACCAAACATAAGAAATTGGTTTTCTTTCAGTCACATTTGGACTGGATGTTCCACCTCAGTGATTCTGGGATTTTGTGATTCCCTGAAATCCAGGCTGACTTTTCCCCAGATCCTCACACTTCTACTCAAACCAGGATCAGATTTTGTGATTCCCTGAAATCCAGGCTGACTTTTCCCCAGATCCTCACACTTCTACTCAAACCAGGATCAGAACCCAGATTTAAATGCTTTGTTCTTAATTTAAACATTTAAATTTAATCTAAATTCAATCGAAATTCAATCGAAATTCAATCGAAATTTAATCTAAATTTAATCTAAATTCAATCTTAATTTAATCTAAATTCAATCTAAATTTAATCTAAATTCAATCTTAATTTAATCTAAATTCAATCTAAATTTAATCGAAATTTAATCAAAATTTAATCGAAATTTAATCTAAATTTAATCTAAATTCAATCTAAATTCAATCTAAATTCAATCTAAATTCCCCCAGTTTGCTTTCCCCCCAAATCTCCCCTCCACAACCAAACACCTCCGGACCTTACTCACACTTTACTCACCAAAGCCCCGCTGCTCAGGAGGATCATGAAGATGATGAAGGTCTCGAACCAGTTGTGCTCCACGATTAGGAAACAAGTTTTCCTCAAGGTCCACCACGACTTTCCCAGCCCTTCCTCGATGTTCACCTGGCAGCACTTGCAGCGCTGCATGCACCCTGGGAAACGCAGCATTTTAAGGGAAAAACATTCAATTTTCACTCCCTGCAAGGAGTTTTAACCTCACCCAAGGCGAGCCACGCTGGGTGGGTTTTAACGGGAGTTGGAAGTTTTGGGGATTTTGAGGATTTTGGGGTTGTTTGGCCATTTCTGGTCACCAGAATTAAACGTGGATTTTGGGAACAGATTGTTCTGTTTGGTTGAGGGCTCTGCTGTCGAGGACACGAATGGAAAAGTTGATGATAAAATAACCTTGAACCATTTAAAGCGTTTTTTTGCCGTGGGAATTCCCGTACTGGAACGGCTCTCGGAACGCATTGAGGGCAGTCACAGGAGAGGAAAAATACTCTGCCTCTAAATGCTTCAGCTGAACAGAAATCATCTTCTTCAGGTCATCCCTAATTCTTTATAAATTGAATTTGTCAGGGTGGGCACGGCGCTGGGGCTGCCCCTGGATCCCTGGAGTTTGGGATCCCTGGAATTTGGGATCCCTGGAGTTTGGGATCCCTGGAGTTTGGGATCCCTGGAGTTTGGGATCCCTGGAGTTTGGGATCCCTGGAATTTGGGATCCCTGGAATTTGGGATCCCTGGAATTTGGGATCCCTGGAGTTTGGGATCCCTGGAATTTGGGATCCCTGGAATTTGGGATCCCTGGAGTTTGGGATCCCTGGAGTTTGGGATCCCTGGAATTTGGGATCCCTGGATCCCAAAGCCAGGCTGGACAGGGATTGGAGGCAGCTGGGACAGAGGGAGCTGTCCCTGCTCGTGGCAGGGGGGAAATCTGGATGAGATTTAAGGTTTTTTCCCAACACAAAGTGATTCTGTGATGGCAGCTGCACCTCTGAGAGCTTCACAAACTGCTCCCAATTATATTGTATATGATATATATAATTATATATTATATACAATATAATATATATAATATATATGATTATATATATTATATATGATATATATAATTATATATAATATAATTTATAAATTATATACATAATTATATATTATTATTAAAATAAAACCAATTATTTTTATTATATATTTATTCTATTAAATGAATTTATTTTTAATTATTTATTAACTATAAATATATATAAAATTATTATTATATAATATTATTAACTATAGATATATACTTATATGTTAATATTTATAAATATTTTAATCAATTTAATTATTTAATTTTTATATTAGTATTATAATACTACTACTCCTACTACTAAAATTATATGTATTATATATAATAATAATATATATAAATAATATATAGTAAAATTATATAGATATATAAAAATTACATATACATAAAAATTATATATAAAAATATAAATTATATATATATATTTTATATATATAAAAATTATATATAAATATTATATATATAAAAATATATATAAATTTTATATATATATTATATATAATTTATATATTATATATATAATTTATATATATAATTTATATATATATATATAATTTTTATATATATATAAAAATATAAATTATATACATATATATGTATAAAAAAATATAAATTATATATATATAAAAATTATATATATATATAGAATCCAGCAAGGGCCTTGAGATGAGCTGAGAGCCAGCCCTGAGCCAGGCTGGCCTAAGCCTGAGATGAGCTGCCAGCTCAGAACATCCCAAACTCCTCTTCCTTCACTCCTTCCTCACCCTCAGTGAAGCAGGCATCGGGGTCCAGGTACTCCTCCGGTGCCTCCACGGGAACTTCCTCCACCTCAGGCTTGATATCGATGGTGCTGCCCTCAGAGGAGCTGCTCTCGTCCAGTTTCTGCAACACAAAACCTCATGGATAATCAATAAATAACAAACTCGCCATAAATATCAAAAATCATTAAATATATTGATTATCTATATATATATTAATTATATAATATTAATATATTAATATATTAATACAGATTAATATTAGTTAATATTACTAATAATATCAAATCTTGATTTATTATTAAATATTATACTAATATTTAATATTACTAATATTTAAAAGTTTAAACTAAAAGCTTAAACTAAAAGTTTAAAAGAAAAGTTTAAAGTAAAAGTTTAAACTGAAAGTTAAAACTGAAAGTTTAAACTAAAAGTTTAAAATAAAAGTTCAAAAGAAAAGTTTAAAAGAAAATTTTAACATAAAATTTTAAACTAAAAGTTTAAACTAAAAGTTTAAAAGAAAATTTTAACGTAAAATTTTAAAGTAAAAGTTTAAACTAAAAGTTTAAACTAAAAGCTTAAACTAAAAGTTTAAACTAAAAGTTTAAACTAAAAGTTAAAACTAAAAGTTTAAACTAAAAGTTTAAGCTAAAAGTTTAAAAGAAAAGTTTAAAGTAAAAGTTTAAACTGAAAGTTAAAACTAAAAGTTTGAACTAAAAGTTAAAACTAAAAGTTTAAAGTAAAAGCTTAAAATAAAAGTTTAAAATAAAAGTTTCAAAGAAAATTTTAATGTAAAATTTTAAAGTAAAAGTTTAAACTAAAAGTTTAAACTAAAAGTTAAAACTAAAAGTTTAAACTAAAAGCTTAAACTAAAAGTTTAAGCTAAAAGTTTAAAAGAAAAGTTTAAAGTAAAAGTTTAAACTGAAAGTTAAAACTAAAAGTTTGAACTGAAAGTTAAAACTAAAAGTTTAAACTAAAAGCTTAAACTAAAAGTTTAAACTAAAAGCTTAAACTAAAAGTTTAAAAGAAAATTTTAAAGTAAAATTTTAAAGTAAAAGTTTAAACTAAAAGTTTAAACTAAAATTTTAAAATTTTAAGCTAAAAGTTTAAACTAAAAGTTTAAACTAAAAGTTTAAAAGAAAATTTTAGCGTAAAATTTTAAAGCAAAAAAATTTTTTTTGCAAAAAAAAAAATTTTAAAGTAAAATTTAAAAGTAAAAAAAGTTTAAAGTAAGCTTTTAAACTTAAAATTTAAACTAAAAATTTAAAATTTTAAACTAAAAGTTTAAAACAAAAATTTAAAATAAAAGTTTAAACCAAAATAATTTCAAACTAAAACTTTAAACTAAAACTTCAGAGCCGTCTCTCCCCACCGAGCCCCTTCCGCGCTCCCGCAGCCCCCGGCCCCGCGGGGATCTCCCCCCGCACCTCCTTGCTGCCGTCGGGGTCCGTGTCGCTGCTGAAATCCTCCGTGTTGAGGTTCTCGAAGTCGGACTCGCCCACGGCGATGGGCACGCGGACGGTCAGGTTGGGGTTGTTGATGAAGGACATGTGGTCCTCGTCGATGATGTACTTCTCCACGCTGCTGCCGATGCCGCTGGTGGTGCCGTTGCCGTTCTTCTGGAAGTCGATGTCCCTGTTGATGTCGGCGCCGGTGTGGTTGGCGATGCAGTTCACCTTCTTGTCGTACAGCTCGTCCAGGGGCTTCACCTCGTCCGCCTCCCGCTGCTTGAAGTGCACCTGCATGAACTCGCGCACCTTGGCCTTGGTCCAGGCGATGCCCTTCTTGATGCGGATCACCGAGATCTGCAGGTTGTTCATCTCGCCGTCGTCGTCCGTGGCCGCCAGGTTGTCGGCGCTGAAGGAGCTCAGCAGCAAGGCCAAGAACAGGTTCAGCACCTGCAAGGGAACAGGCGATGCTGGGCTGACACACAGATCTGGGGCTGTTCCCGCTGCTTGGCACCCAGAGCCCTGCTGATGCTGTTTCTGGAACCTGCTGGAAGCCACTCTGCCATCCCACAGACTCATCTGTGCCCGAGGTTTGAGATACGAAACCCTGTCTCTGGACACAAACCAGCTCTGCCATCCCACAGACTCATCTCTGCTCGAGGTTTCTGATATGAGACCACCAGCTCTGCTGTCCCACAGACTCATCTGTGCTCAAGATTTCTGATATGAGACCCTGATGCTGTCTCTAGAACCTGCTGGAAACCTGCTCTGCTGTCCCACAGACTCATCCAGGTACCCAAGGTTTGAGATACAAGACCCTGGTGCTGTCTCTGGAACCTGCTGGAAGCCACTCTGCCATCCCACAGACTCATCCAGCTGCTCGAGGTTTGAGATATGAGACCCTGATGCTGTCTCTGGACAGGAAACCAGCTGGAAACCTGCTCTTCTGTCCCACAGACTCATCTCTGCTCGAAGTTTGAGATATGAGACCCTGATGCTGTCTCTGGAACCTGCTGGAAACCTGCTCTGCTGTCCCACAGACTCATCTGTGCCCGAGGTTTGAGATATGAGACCACCAGCTCTGCTGTCCCACAGACTCATCCAGGTACTCAAGGTTTGAGATACGAGACCCTGATGCTGTCTCTGGAACCTGCTGGAAACAGCTCTGCTGTCCCACAGACCCATCCAGCTGCTCAAGGTTTGAGATAAGAAGCCCTGATGCTGTCTCTGGACACAAACCAGCTCTGCTGTCCCACAGACTCATCCAGGTACTCAAGGTTTGAGATACAAGACCCTGATGCTGTCTCTGGAACCTGCTGGAAGCCACTCTGCCATCCCACAGACTCATCTCTGCCCGAGGTTTGAGATACGAGACCCTGATGCTGTCTCTGGACAGGAAACCTGCTGGAAACCTGCTCTGCTGTCCCACAGACCCATCCAGCTGCTCAAGGTTTGAGATAAGAAGCCCTGATGCTGTCTCTGGACACAAACCAGCTCTGCTGTCCCACAGACTCATCCAGGTACTCAAGGTTTGAGATACAAGACCCTGATGCTGTCTCTGGAACCTGCTGGAAACAGCTCTGCCATCCCACAGACCCATCCAGCTGCTCAAGGTTTGAGATACGAGACCCTGAAGCTGCAAAAAGTTCCCTGACGAGGGCCCTGAGGGGCTCTGAGGTGTCCCAGGGGTCTGGGGCAGGGACAGGATGGAGCCCCTTGAGGGATTCAATCCCCACGGGATTTCAATTCAGCCTCGCTGATTTACTCCCGTCTCTGCCTCAGAGAAAACGGAGAAAATCTTGGCATTTTGAGTGATTCAAATCGCTCACCCAGCTCTTCCTCACCCCCACTAAATTCCCACCCAGGGGCCACCAAGAAATCCCACCAGGAACCATTCACTGACCACTAAATTCCCACTCAGAGGCCACCCAGAAATCCCACCAGGAATCATCTACTGACCACTAAATTCCCAACCCAGGGGCCACCAAGAAATCCCACCAGGAACCATTTCCTGACCACTAAATTCCCAACCCAAGGGCCACCAAGAAATCCCACCAGGAACCATTTCCTGACCACTGAATTCCCACCAAGGAATCCCAGCAGGAACCATTCACTGACCACTAAATTCCCACCCAGAAATCCCAGCAGGAACCATTTACTGACCACTAAATTCCCAACCCAGGGGCCACCCAGAAATCCCAGCAGGAACCACAAAATTTCCACCCAGAGGCCACCAAGAAATCCCACCAGGAACCATCTACTGACCACTAAATTCCCACCCAGAGGCACCACTAAATTCCCAACCCAGAGGCCACCCAGAAATCCCACCAAGAACCATTTCCTGACCACTAAATTCCCACCCAGAAATCCCACCAGGAACCACTAAATTCCCACCCAGAGGCCACCAAGAAATCCCACCAGGAACCATCTACTGACCACTAAATTCCCAACCCAGAAATCCCAGCAGGAACCATCTACTGACCACTAAACTCCCACCAAGAAATCCCACCAGGAATCATCTACTGACCACTAAATTCCCACCCAGAAATCCCAGCAGAAACCATTCACTGACCACTAAATTCCCAACCCAGAGGCCACCCAGAAATCCCACCAAGAACCATTTCCTGACCACTAAATTCCCACCCAGAAATCCCACCAGGAACCACTAAATTCCCACCCAGAGGCCACCAAGAAATCCCACCAGGAACCATCTACTGACCACTAAATTCCCAACCCAGAAATCCCAGCAGGAACCATCTACTGACCACTAAGTTCCTGGTGGGATTTCTGGGTGGGAATTTACTGACCACTAAATTCCCACCCAGAAATCCCAGCAGGAAGCATTCACTGACCACTAAATTCCCACCAAGAACCACTAAATTTCCACCCAGAAATCCCACCAGGAACCACTAAATTTCCACCCAGAGGCCACCAAGAAATCCCACCAGGAACCATCTACTGACCACTAAATTCCCACCAAGAAATCCCACCAGGAACCATCTACTGACCACTAAATTCCCACCCAGAAATCCCACCAGGAACCATTTCCTGACCACTAAATTCCCACCCAGAAATCCCAGCAGGAACCATTTCCTGACCACTAAATTCCCAACCCAGAGGCCACCCAGAAATCCCAGCAGGAACCATTCCCTGACCACTAAATTCCCACCCAGAAATCCCAGCAGGAACCATTTACTGACCACTAAATTCCCACCAAGAAATCCCACCAGGAACCACTAAATTCCCACCAAGAAATCCCAGCAGGAACCATCTACTGACCACTGAATTCCCACCCAGGGGCCACCAAGAAATCCCACCAGGAACCATCTACTGACCACTGAATTCCCACCCAGAAATCCCAGCAGGAACCATCTACTGACCACTGAATTCCCACCCAGAAATCCCAGCAGGAACCATTTACTGACCACTAAGTTTCCGATGACCATGACCATCATGAAGACAATCAAGCACATGGCCTGGCCCGCCACTTCCATACAATCCCACATGGTCTCAATCCACTCCCCACACAACACACGGAAGACAATAAGGAAGGAGTGGAAGAAATCGTGCATGTGCCAGCGGGGTAGCTCACACTCCGGATTGATCTTGCAGACACACTCCTTGTAGCTTTTGCCGAAGAGCTGCATCCCCACCACGGCGAAGATGAACACGATGATGGCCAGCACCAAGGTCAAATTCCCCAAGGCACCCACTGAGTTACCAATGATTTTTATCAGCATGTTCAGAGTGGGCCAGGATTTGGCCAGTTTGAAGACTCTCAGCTGGAAAAAAAAAAAAATAATAAAAAACAAAAGGAGCGTAAAAAATCTTAAACGAAGAGGGAAATGAAGTAGAATTTCCTAAAAAATATAAAGCAGAATTTCCTAAAAAATAGAGTAGAATTTTCTAAAGAATAGAGCAGAATTTCCTAAAAAATAAAGCAGAATTTCCTAAAAAATAAAGCTGAATTTCCTAAAAAATAAAGAAGAATTTCCTAAAAAAATAAAGTAGAATTTCCTAAAAAAATAAAGTAGAATTTCCTAAAAAAAAAAAGCTGAATTTCCTAAAAAAATAAAGTAGAATTTCCTAAAAAATAAAGCAGAATTTCCTAAAAAAGCAGAATTTCCTAAAAAATAAAGCTGAATTTCCTAAAAAATAAAGCAGAATTTCCTAAAAAAATAAAGTAGCATTTCCTAAAAAATAAAGTAGAATTTTCTAAAAAATAAAGCAAAATTTCCTAAAAAATAAAGCAGAATTTCCTAAAAAATAAATCAGAATTTCCTAATAAATAAAGCAGAATTTCCTAAAAAAAATAAAGCAGAATTTCCTAAAAAAATAAAGCAGAATTTCCTAAACAACAACCATCTTGTATTTTATATAAAAAATTTGGGCTGGAGTGTTTTGTGCTTTGGTTATTCCCCACACCCTGATCTCCCCTCCCAAAGGAAAACGCAACAGGAAAGAAGATCCCACAAAAAAAAAAAAATGGCACAACTTGATCTCAGTCCCACCCAAACCCAGATTAAAATGGCTCTTCCCTCGTCCTACAAAAACGGGAAAAAAATTCCTTATGTGAGGGAAAAGGCTGGAATTGCGTCCAGGGTAGGGAGGGGGTGGATATTGGGGGAAAAAAATTCTGGTTGGGAACCGCCCCAGAGCTCAAAGGACATTAAGAAAATGTCCAAAAAAAAAAGGGTGGGATTGCTGAGGTTCCCTCCCAGCTCAGGACATTCCCTGGATCTCTGAGCTCCACCATAACAAGGCTGGAAAAGAGCTGGAATGTGGAATACCAATCGGAAAGATCGCAGCACGGAGAGCCCTTCCACATCCGCCAGACTCAGCTNGGCGAATTTGTACCAGCAAGGGGGACACTTCCTCTGGGACTCCTCCAGCTCTGCAGGTACAGAACAAAACTGAGCTCAGGATTCATCTCTGAGGATGAAGAATTACAAAACTTTGGGAAAATGGCCACGGAGGTGACACGAGAGAAGAGCTGGGGCGGGTTGGACATCAGGAAGAAATTCTTTGTGGGAAGGGTGGTCAAACCTCCCTGCCCAGCGAGGTTTGGAGTGGCCATCCCTGGGAAAATCCAAGGAATTTCCAGCTCTGGGCCGGGTGACAGCGTGGGGATCACTCAGAGGTTAAACCCCGTGACCTTGGAGCTCTTGGAGCCTCGGGGATTTTGGGATTTCACGATTTTACCGAGCTCTGTGACTTCTTTGTCCCCGCACAACATCCAGGCGACACCTGCAGCGGGTCACCGCGGCTCCACCCCTGAGCCTCAGCCCCACCAGGATGATTCAACGCTAATTATTCCAAACCAAGGGCTAAATTTAACTCGGAACTGATCAAGGTAAAACAGCTCAAAACCCAAGTTACAGATCCCAAACTGCCTCTGCTGCCGGTTTTTAAATAACTGAGATGAATCCTGCGCTCAACACAGACACGGTCTAAAAGAGGAAAGAGATGACATAATGCTGCGAAGGATTTTCATCAGGAATAACCTGATTAAGACTAACTACATCCATTTCCACAAACCAAACACAGAAATTTTTTAATTTTTAATATTTTTTTTCCCACCCCACCGCCTCACCTCGAGCGTTTAAGGGATAAAGAACCAAACACAAAGGAGGAGTTTGAGGTTGGGGCTGTGCAGCCCTCACCTCTCGTTTTTTTTTTTTATGGGGAGGGAAAGGACCGCTCTCTTTCCCATTGGTTCTCTGGTTGCTTGGGATTTAGTTGCCTTGGAATTTCTCAAGTTAAAGACGAGGCCCGTGGCGCTGGAGCCCGTGGGCGTTTGTGCGGGAGGGCAGCCCCGCTCTGTTTCTAAGTATATTTCGTTTTCCTACAGTTTTATTGCAGGAGACAGCGGGAACTGGAGCTCATCGACCGCCCGTGGCTGCTGCTCATCAGTTCTGCGTTGGGAAATCTCATCCCCCTGAGCGCTGTCCCTTCCAGAATTCCCAAGGGATCCCGTCTCCTGCGGCAGCGCTCGGTGCAGCTCCGGCGCTCCTCTCCCACGGTGGGGATTCCTCCAGGCCTTGGGAGATGACAGAACCCCCTGAGCTCCTCTCAGCTCCTCACTGCCTTCTCCTTAGCGTAAAGTTACAACTCCTTGTTGCCTTCGGCTCTGTCTCTACGCAATTCTGATGTAAAAACCCAAGTTAAATGAAGTCTAATGAGTATTTCTTTGTTAATAAAGATCGAAAGGAAGCGGATTTTGGCAAAGCCATGCGTGGGCATGTGCTGCTCTAAAGCAGGGGGAGCCGGATTCCACCGGACCAGGTCACTCCAAGCCTTGCCCAACCTGACCCTGGACACTTCCAGGAACCAGGAAATTCCTCTGGAGACTTCCAGGAACCAGGAAATTCCTCTGGACACTTCCAGGAACCGGGAAATTCCTCTGGACACTTCCAGGAACCGGGAAATTCCTCTGGACACTTCCAGGAACTGGGAAATTCCTCTGGACACTTCCAGGATCGGGGAAATTCCTCTGGACACTTCCAGGAATGGGGAAATTCCTCTGGAGACTTCCAGGAACCGGGAAATTCCTCTGGACACTTCCAGGAACAGGGAAATTCCTCTGGAGACTTCCAGGAACCGGGAAATTCCCCTGGGTAACCCAGGGAAGAATTCCTCCCCGACATCCCATCCATCCCTGCCCTCTGGCCGTGGGAAGCCGTTCCCTGTGTCCCATCCCTTTATCCCAAGTCCATCTCCAGCTCTCCCGGAGCCCCTCCAGGCACAGGAAGGGGCTCAGGGGTCTCCCTGGAGCCCCAAACCACACCTACCCTCAACGAGGGTGTTGGTCAGCCCGGTCATGACGCTGTTGGTGCGATCCTTCCTTCCGTAGGACGCGTTCACCTGATCCATGGAGACCAAGAGAGACCCGCCAGGCTTCTTCCTGATTTCGATTTCGGTGGTGCCCTGGAAAAATGCAGGTGGTGATTAACTCCAGTCTTCTCTCTGACACGCTCCTGGCCCAGGGCCTGCATTTCCTGGGCTCGCCAAACCCAAATTCCTTCCTAAACCCCCAAATTTTCCAACATTTTAACACCTCTCACCATCACCTGCAGCAGGGGCTGGACAGAGCTAAAGGAATTAAACAACAAAGCAGAGATTTACTCAAAAAAAACCTCCCAAAGACTCACCTTGCTCAGAGCTGTGACCTCACCCAACATCACGAATTTCACACTTTTATAAATTTCGGTTCATTAACGTTCGGGAGTTTCAATATCACACTCTGGGGACCCACCTCGGGCAGGATGCGACCCCCGGGCATGCTGGAGGGCGGCCCGCCGATGAGCGAGACGACGCCGTTGCAGTCCACGGTGCTGTTCCTCTTGACGCTGCGGCGCAGCGTGGGGAAGATGCGCGAGGAGCGGCTGCCCTGGCTGTAGCCGCTGTAGCCGCTGTAGCTGCTGCGCCGGTCGCGGCCGCGGATGGGGATGAAGAGCGAGTCCCTCCTGCCCTCGCTCTCCTCCACCGTGCTGTGCTCGTCGTCCGCAAACTCGTTCTCCGACACCGGGTCGCGGAAGCGGCCCTTGTAGCTGAAGATGCTGCTCTTGCTGTTGTGGCGGGAGAGGAAAGGGGAGCCCGGGATGCTGAGGAGAGACTGGGGAGAAGGGGAAGGACGGAGTGAGGAGGATGGACAGGAAGGATGGAGTGAGGAGGATGGACAGGAAGGATGGACAGGAAGGATGGACAGGGAGGATGGAGTGAGGAGGATGGACAGGAAGGATGGACACGAAGGATGGGCAGGAAGGATGGAGTGAGGAGGATGGACAGGAAGGATGGACAGGGAGGATGGACAGGAAGGATGGACAGGAAGGATGGACAGGAAGGATGGACAGGAAAGATGGACAGGAAGGATGGACAGGGAGGATGGACAGGGAGGATGGACAGGAAGGATGGACAGGAAGGATGGACAGGAAGGATGGACAGGAAGGATGGACAGGAAGGATGGACAGGAAGGATGGACAGGGAGGATGGACAGGAAGGATGGACAGGGAGGATGGACAGGAAGGATGGACAGGAAGGATGGACAGGGAGGATGGAGTGAGGAGGATGGACAGGAAGGATGGACAGGGAGGATGGACAGGAAGGATGGACAGGGAGGATGGACAGGAAGGATGGACAGGGAGGATGGACAGGAAGGATGGACAGGAAGGATGGACAGGAAGGATGGACAGGGAGGATGGACAGGGAGGATGGAGAGGAAGGATGGACAGGAAGGATGGACAGGAAGGATGGACAGGAAGGATGAAGTGAGGAGGATGGACAGGAAGGATGGACAGGAAGGATGGACAGGGAGGATGGATGGGAAGGATGGACAGGGAGGATGGACAGGAAGGATGGACAGGAAGGATGGAGTGAGGAGGATGGACAGGAAGGATGGACAGGAAGGATGGACAGGGAGGACGGAGTGAGGAGGATGGACAGGAAGGATGGACAGGGAGGATGGACAGGAAAGATGGACAGGAAGGATGGACAGGAAAGATGGACAGGAAGGATGGACAGGGAGGATGGACAGGAAGGATGGACAGAGGAGGATGGACAGGAAGGATGGACAGGAAAGATGGACAGGGAGGATGGACAGGAAGGATGGACACAAAGGATGGACGGGAATGATGGATGGGAAGGATGGACAGGAAAGATGGGCAGGAAGGATGGAGTGAGGAGGATGGACAGGAAGGATGGACACAAAGGATGGACACAAAGGACGGAGTGAGGAGGATGGACACACACAAAGGATGGAGTGAGGATGGACACAAAGCACTGCTGGCTTGGCTTCCTAGAACCATGGAATTGTTTGGTTTGGTTTGGTTTGGTTTGGTTTGGTTTGGTTTGGTTTGGATGTTCTCTGCTTCCACCGCTGCCTCAAGCTGCTCCAAGCCCTGCCCAGCTGGGCCTTGGACACTTCCAGGGATGGAGCAGCCACAGCTTCTCTGGGCAGCCACGGCCTCCCCACCCTCAGAGGGAGGAATTTCCTCCCAGCACCGTGTCTGACCCTGTCCCCTGCACTGGGAAGCCATTCCCCCTTGTCCAGGCACTCCAGACCCCTGTGAATGGTCTCTGTGCCTCAGTTTCCCTCCCTCCCCAGGCCTGCAGGGACCAGCAGCCCTCCCTGCCCGGCGAGAGCTGCTCACTCCTGCCTGAGCTACCACTGGAGGAGCTGCCTGGACTCCTCAGGAACAATTCCTGCCAGGGGAAGGGTGTGTGAGAATCATGACCTTGGGCCCCAGGTGTTCTCCTGACCCCTTTTTGGGCAGATCCCTTTTCCAACCTCAAGGATTCTGGGATTTCATGATTCTACCGAGCTGCGTGACTTCTCACAACATCCACACCTAAAGCAGAATATTACCCTGACCTCAAGCAACCACAAACATCAGTGAAGGAACACAAAACTACCTGGTTCATGATGGAGAACTTCCTTCCCAGCCTGTTATCCGGCAGCCTGAACGCTTTCCTCCTCATGCCATCCTCCGACTCCGACTTGAACACCTTCTCGTTGTCACACTTCTCGTCTCCTTCCGACAGCTCCCTGTCCTTCCTCTTCTTCCTCCTGTTCCGGCGCTCCTTGGCACTCTTGGAACTGAGCTTGGAAATCTCCGAGGAGCTCCGAGACATCCTCCCCCCTCCATCATCTTCCACGGCGTCCTCAGAGACCGTCCCTGCCGAGGTGACCATGGCAGCAGCCTGGGGGTGCAGGGCGAGGGAAGGAGGAATAAATCACATCCTTCCACCGTTAACGCTCCATTTTCCGCTCCAAGAAAAGAGTTTGGCTCAATTCCCCCCAGTAAGAGACTTCGGGGCAGGATTGAGATGTTTATTCTCTCCTTGGAAGGAAACTTTCAGCCAGAATTTGTTAGAATTTTTTTATATTCTACCTGTGCAGGTAATAAAATCAGCTTCTCTGGCAGCCCTTAGAGCGAGGAATTTCTTTTTTTTTTCTCACCTGTGCTTCTTCCTGTTGCTTTTTCAACTGCTCCAGCATGGCCTTGAATTCTGCCTCCTTCTGCTCTGCCTCCTCCAGGGTGGCCTGGTTCTGCTCCTCGTAGGCCATGGCCACCACGGCCAGAATCAGGTTCACCAGGTAGAAGGATCCCACGAAGATCACCAGCACAAAGAAGATCATGTAGGTTTTTCCTGCCGCTCGTAAGGTCTAGGAGCAGGAAAGAAGGGCAGAGGGATTAGAAAAGGGAAAGGGTGTCGTTCTGATTGGGAACGGTGATAAAGAACGACACGGACTCTCAAGGGAGTCACAACAGGAGAATTCTCTGGTTTATTGCTTCAGGCCTGTTTTATAGACTGGTACGTGGAAAGTACAGAAAAGAAACTTTTATTGGTTAGCAAAGTGCTACATCACCATCATTGGTCAGGGGCTCACCACCCCCCTGACTTTCTCCTGCAAGGGAAAACAAGAGGACAGACAAACAGCGCCTGGCAGTTGTTTTCTGTCTCTGAGGATTGTTTTGAAATCCTCCTATGAAATTCTCAGGCTAGCTTCTCAGGCAGGACTGAGAGGCCCTGGGCCTGCAGCCTGCTCCAAAGCTAGCATCCATAAAAGGGAAGCAGCTTCAGGCTTCCCTGATGTGAGGTGCATGAGCTGATCCCCGTTTTCTTGAGCTGAATGCTTCTAAGAAAACCCAGCAGTGCTGAATATTCCACAGCTCAGCCTTCTCCCCGCAGACTCTGCACATTCCTCAGCCACGAACACAAAAGGTGACATCCACCTTCTCCCCTTAAGGGAACACCCGAGGGATACAGACTGAAAAGAATTCGGAGGCACAGCGTGAAACCCAATGCTCAGACTCCCTTAAAACAAACCCAGCCAAGAAAAAGCTGCTTCAGCAAGGTCCCCAAAGCACCCTCAGGTCAGGAGAAAACTCTCTGCCCTCCAAAGAGGGCTGAACACCCACAGCTCCTTCAGGAGCTTCCTCCTGAATTAATTCACAGCTCAGCTGGACCCACCAAACCTTAAAATCCAACACCTGCTGACAGGTAATGTCCCCTTCCTCCCCCCAAAAATAAAATCTCACTGTGAAGCTTGACTCGCACTCGCTCATTTTGAGAGAATAAAACAAAGCTTCTCACGTTTCCCTTTCTTGTTTTACCCCCAAATTCTCACCACAACAAAGCCGAGGGTTTACTTACTAACTGATACAAGTTTTCCCAGAAGTCCTGAGTCATAAGGCGAAATAAAGCCAGGAAAGCCCAGCTGAAGGTGTCGAAGCTGGTGTAGCCGTAGTTGGGGTTCCGTCCCGCCTTCATGCACGTGTATCCCTCCGGGCATTGCCTGGGGAGGGACCAGAGGCAGCTCAGGGCTCCGTGCCACCCCTGTCCCCACGAACCGCAGCTCGCCCCAGGGCGGGAGGGATGGAGGATGAGCAGGGGGGAGAGGAAGGAGCTGAGGAAAGCCCTTGTCCCGTGGAGAGGTGGAGAGGAGACGCTGCCTCGCGCAGCCTCTCCCCGCTGGGTGAGCCCAAAGCCGCAGCTCGGGCCAGGAGCGTCCCCAGGGCTGAACAGCACCTGGGGAATTCACATCTCTGAGCCTTCATCCACCCTCCTCTCATCATCCTCGAGGCTGGATTCAGAGGGAAAGAATGGCAGCTCCTGGTGGGGAAATGTCCCTTACACTGAGCCAACAATGGGTTCATAATTAGATTAAGAAATTTGAAATCTGGTGAAGTAACACCGGAAACAACAGAGGAATAATCCAAAAGGTTCTGCCAGCTTTATATATATAAATAATATAAATATAAATATAAATAGATAAATAAATATATAAATAAATATAAATAAATATAAATAAATATAAATAAATATAAATATAAATATTAAATATATATAGATATAAATATAGATATATATAGATATAGATATAAATATATATATGATATAGATATAAATATAGATATATATAGATATAGATATAAATATATATATATATATAGATATAGATATAGATATAGATATAAATATAAATATAAATATAAATATAAATATAAATATAAACACAAATATAAACACAAATATAAACACAAATATATATTTATAAATAAATATATTTATATTTATTTTTATATTTAAAATATAAACATAAATGTATAAATTTATAAATTTCTATTTATAAATATATTTATATTTATATTTAATATATATTTATATATTTATATATTTAAATACTTATTTATATATTTAAATATATATTTATATATTTTTATATATAGTATATATTTTTTATTTATCAGTAATAACTGGCTGTTAATGAAGCTCAACACTCACCCTGCATCTGAGCTGTTATATAGTATATATTTTTTATTTATCAGTAATAACTGGCTGTTAATGAAGCTCAACACTCACCCTGCATCTGAGCTGTTACCACAGAGCAAAGGGTCAGGGGCGCCAGGAATGATGTAAAAATTTGCTGAAGATGAGAAAGAAGAGATCATATTCACACACATATGGAGTTAGAGGATTTAACAGACTATAGCACCATTAAAAACTTCAATAAAAAACCCCCCAAAACCGCTGCTGAGAAATGCATCAGTAATTATTTAACGAATTATTTAGCTAAAAGAGCGCATCCAAAACCTTCTAAAGGATGAACTCAACGAGGAACATCTCAACGAGGTCAGACCCAAAATAAAAACGCCGTAAAAACTTCTGCACGTGGGGTTTTTACAGCGAAAAGCAAACACACCACAGCAAGCTCAAAATCAGCAAAAAAAAAACAAAAACAGGAAAATCAGGAGGTTTTTGGGGACTGCAGAAATACTCACACATATTATTGGTGTATTCCTCCCAGTCAAAGCCCCTGGAGCCGTTATCCAGAAAGGTCTCGTTGACATTAATTGGCCAAATCACACATTTGTTCCTTAAATTGCCCATGAAGAGCTGGAGCCCGATGAGGGCGAAGACACTGAGACAGAAAACTGTCAGGATCATCACGTCCGACAGCTTCTTCACAGACTGGATCAGGGCACCCACGATGGTCTTCAGGCCTGGGGAGAGGGAAACGAGACTGGAAATCACTCCTGCAGAGGGAAAACACGCTGAAAATCCAAATTAATGCCGAATTCATCCAAATTCCTTCTCTACTGTGGCTGTAAACGGTGCAGGTTTGTGTGTGGTTGGGTTTTCCAGGCAGTAAAACACCGGGATGGAGGCAAGGAATGGCCAGAAGAAACCAAAATCCCAATGTTTGTCCCTGAGAGAGCCCAAAACTCAGAGCAGGACTGAGAAAAGTGGGGAATCACCTCCTTCCTTTGCCAAACCAGGATTAAATTGGGATTTGCTGCCCCCAAAGCCCTGCTGGGCACGTCCAGCCGTGTTTGAGCTGCAGCAGCTCACGGAGATCAAATGAACTCTGCACATCTCGGGTTCCTCCTGCTCGGCTCGGCCGTCTCAGAGCTCCCCTTCCCCTGCAGGAGCAGAAATTCCCCTCCCAGCGTGGACCAGGGCAGGGTTTCACCCAGGGCATGGCTGCTTTGGGGGTTTTCTGAGCCCACTGGGATCATTCACGTGCTCAGGAACAAAATTCAGATATTCCAAAAGGAATCCTGCTCGTTTCTGAGTCCGTCAGAGGCAGAACCCGTGAGAGGGGAGAACTCAGCCTTAGTTTTTAGGCTGAACCAGGCAGAATTTTGGATGCAGAGACATCACTGAGTTAGGCCCCTTTAACCAGCCTTGCTGGTGTGAAGGAGGACGATCCCATGGTTTATAAATGAGCAGGGAAGGGAGGAAGGAGAAAAAAATAAATCACAGATGGATTTGGGGCCAGGCAGAGCCCACAGGGACGTTCTGCAGCAGATCCTGGACCAGGAACCTTCCAAAACCCTTGGAGGCCAAGAGAGCTCAGACCCAGACCAGGAAGGTAAAGATCCCAAAACAAAACAGATCCATTCCTCATTAATCCAAATTCCTTTTCTATGGTGGGAAAGGCTGTGGCTGTAAACGGTGCGGGTTTGTGCGTGCTCGGGTTTTCCAGGCAGTAAAACACCGGGATGGAGGCAAGGAATGGCCAGAAGAAACCAAAATCCCAATGTTTGTCCCTCAAACATATCCTCAAGTGAGATTTAATCCCGCTATCCAAACTCCCCGGGGGTTTTCCCAGGCAGAGCAGCTTTCATCACCCCCAGCACCTCTTGCCATGCTCATCCCACGGCTCTGCTCATGCACATCAGCCTCCTGCTCCGGGTGCTGCTCTTTCCCAGGACAAAAAAAGGGGTTTGGAAACCGGGAATGCTCCAACAAATTCCAGCTGCAGCCACCGAAAGCCCAGCTTTCCCTGGAGCCTTCCCAGGTGTGTCCCCACGTGGCATCAGAGAATTTAAATATAAAAACTCCAGTGCAAAGACAGAAAATTTCTTCAGCTCATCACAGTTTCATACAGGTTTTTTTCCCACCAAAAAAAAAAAGATCAAAGGGGTTATTTTGGTTAATTCGGTAGAGACCACGGAATTTTTGTCCGTGGCATGTGAAATTCTGGTAATATTTCCCATTTTTATCTTGTCTCAAACACACCTTAATTCCAGTTAATTATTAACTAATTATTAATTATTATATAAATATTAAATATTTAATTATTAATTAAACACTAAAGTCAGCTTCTCAGCAGCAAACACTAAAGTCAGCTTCTCAGCAGCTGGGCACAGAGTTAAAATTCACATTTCAGGTGCTGAAGCAGAAGGGGAACCCCTTTAGATTTGAATATTTAATGTATTCCAAAAATCACCTTTTCCTTGTGAAATGATGCTGGTAAAAGCCACAAAGAGCACTTTATGTTTTCACATGAAATAACCCAAAAGGCCAATTATTCAAATGTTTTACATTCCTCCTGCTGTCACAGAACGGAGGGGGCCAAGATTAGTGCTGCTGGACAATCCTCCCCAAAAAAACAGACACAAAACCCAAAAATTTTGCCATTTTTTATGTTCAGTGTCCCAAATAGGAATAACCTTGTCTGTGTGTGGCAAATCACCCCTTTTATTCAACCAAAACACGCAGCAAATTGTCCCTCTAATAAAAACCACATTAAAAAACGTGCTGGAACTCAGCAGGGCTCAGCCCCAAGCCCTGCATTTGAAATAAAACCATTTAAAGTTTTGAGCTGGATGGAGAGAAAGATCCAAAAGTGAGCTCTGCTCTCTGCATGGGAACACAAAGCATGCTGTCACACAGCCAGAAAACAGCTCCTGGAAGCTGCAAAAACACAGGCAAAAGTGGTTTTAATGCTGATGCTCCTCCTCTGAGCAAGCCAGATACTGTCTGGAGCAGGCTGGGAGGGTGAAAACCCTCCAGAACCAAAGGTAATTTGGCAATTAATTAAAATTAATTTAAGTTTTGCTCTTAAGTATCACCAGACGTGAAGAGGAAGGCTCGGTAGGAACATCGCTCCAGATTGTTGTGACTGGGTGCAAGGAAAGCAGGTGCCACGTAGGAGCAGCATCATCATCATCATCATCATCATCATCATCATCACCATCATCACCATCATCACCATCATCATCATCATCATCATCATCATCATCATCATCATCATGCACAACAGGCAGGTACAGCTGATGGGGTTGGCAGTCTGGGATGGGACAAATCCTACAAATTCCACAGGCTGGTCCCTGGCAGGCTGAGAAAGCAAAACCACTGCTCCAAAAAAAAAAAAAAAACCCCAAAACCCACGTGGAAAAAAGGGGTTTTTGTTCAAAACCAAAAGGAACTGAGAGCAAAAGTCATGGAGGAGTTATTGTGGGTGCCCACCTCGAAACAGGTTCAGCTCTGGAGACCAGAAAGCTGAGGATCTGTAAGAGCTGAGCCTTGAGCTTGCTCTCAGAATTAGGGGCAATTTTGAGAAATCACAAAAGCTTTTCAAGAATGCAGGATCAGGAAATGTTCCAGGCCAGGCTGGACAGAGCTGTGATTAACCTGGCCTAGTGGAAAGTGTTCCTGCCCACGGCAGGAGGTGGAACAAGATGGGTTTTAAGGTCGCTCCCAACCCAAACCAGACTGGGATTCTGTGATTCCCAAAATCACAAACCCAGAAACAGCTTTGGGAAGGGTGAGCCTGACAACTCCAGTTCTGGGGTGGAACAGGAAATGGGAAAAAAGGTTTTTTTAATCTTGGTTGGGGTTTTGCTCTGTACAAAATTATTCCTAAAACAACTCCAAAAACACTGAGCAGGGCACGAGCCTGAGCCAGAAACTGCTCAGCCTGAGGAGGAGCCTGATCCTTTTCATCTGGAATTAAACTTTTAAGCCTGGCTTTATTTTCAGAGATCAGTATGAAGAGGGCACACAGAGGGACAGAGAAGTGTGGAGTAACAGCCTGCATCATTTGATGGCCCAGGAGCTTTGATTTCTTTGATTGCTTTGTTACACAGACTGCAAATCCCATCCCCAAAAAAAAAAAAAAAATCCCATTTGTGAGGAGTGAGCAGTGCAGGAAGGGAGGGGAAATCGGGAGAGGAGACACACGCAAGGCCAGCCTTTAACGCTGAACGTTTCTCACCTGGAATTACAGAGATAGTTTTCAAAGCTCGGAGAACTCTGAAAGTTCTCAATGCTGAGACATTCCCAAGGTCCACAAACTCTGTGACATATCTGCAATGAGGGAGGTCACACACAAAAAAAACACCATGACAATACACACACACCAAAATAAAACAACAACTACGGGACAAAGCAATACATCACTCACAGGGGGCCTGTACCCGACAGCTAAACACCAACCCGGGCCGCCTTACCTGGAATTACAGAAATAGTTTTCAAAGCTCTCAGAACCCTGAAAGTGCGCAGAGCTGAAACATTGCCTAGGTTTACAAACTCTGTTATATACCTGCAGAATTAAACCAGAGTTAATGGCACTGTTGGGGTCACCTCCCTCTGTATAAATTGTTTGTTTGTAGGAAATTGCTCGTGATTTAAAATGCTTCAGGATTGGGAAGAGGGAGAGACAAAGCTGCAGAGGTAAAAAATGGTTGAAGTCTCTCTGCTCCTCGGAGCTTGCCCAGGTACACGGCTGGAAATCCATCCTCACCTGGAATTGTGGAGTGTCCTGAGCTGGGGGGGACCCACAGGGATCATCCAGTGCAGCTGCAGCTCCTGCACAGACCCCACAACAATCCCTGGAGCGCTGTCCCAGCACCCCTGGAGCTCTGGGAGAACCTTTTCCTGCTCTCCTGGAGCTCTGGAGAACCTTTTCCTGCTCTCCTGGAGCTCTGGAGAACCTTTTCCTGCTCTCCTGGAGCTCTGGAGAACCTTTTCCTGCTCTCCTGGAACAGTTTTCCAGCGCTCCAGCTGTTCCCTCAGCCCAGCCCTGGGCATCTCTGGAGCTCTGGAGAACCTTTTCTGTTCTGCAGGAACAGTCTTCCACAGCTCCAGCTGTTCCCTCAGCCTGGCCCTGGGCACCCCTGAAGTTCTGGAGAACCTTTTCCTGCTCTCCAGGAACACTTTTCCACAGCTCATCCTGGTCCTGGGCATCCCTGAAGTTCTGGAGAACCTTTTCCTGCTCTCCTGGAGCTCTGGAGAACCTTTTCCTGCTCTCCAGGAACACTTTTCCACAGCAGAACCTTTTCTGTTCTGCAGCTGAACACACCCAGAGCCTGCCCCATCCCCTTGTCCCTGCTTTGGTCCCTCTCCAGCACCTTTAGATGTTTTTATTTTTCATATTGTGCTGCCCCAAACTTCACACAGACACAACTCCAAACTCAAACCTCAGCAGAAGAGGGGAATTGTAAAAAATTCCAAATATTTGGGGAGCCTTGGTGACCCCACCCTGAGCAAGCTGGGCTGGTGGGAGGCGTCCCTGGACCAATCCACGATTCCCTGACTGCAGGATCACCTCAGATCAGGGGTTTCAGGTACATTCCCTTCGTGTTTTTAAGAAAACATAATCATCTTCTGCTTTGATTAACATCCTTCAATTTAATTAGCATCCTTCATTTTAATTAGCATCCTCCTTTTTTTAATCCTTTATGCTTCGCTGTCTGTGAGCTGCAGGAAGGTTTTGATTCTCCTCTTTTTTTTTCCAAGAGGATAATCCCAAGATACACAAGGCTTAGTGCAAAGTAACAGGGTTGTATTTTACATTTTTATATTATTATTTTTATATTCTTAGAGAATATTTCCTCTGTGCTTGGACACAAACTGAAACTTGGTATGAAAAATCAAATTGATGCTCGACATTCAAGATTTTTTTTCCTGGTGCACAAAGGCCTCAAGGGACTCTATTTAAACAATTAAAAGGTAGAAAAAAAAAAGCAAAAAAAAACCTCAGGAAACTTGGGTGCAGAATCCAAGAAAATATCATTAAAGTGTTTTAATTCGACCCAAGTGCTCTGAACCCTCGGAAATCTGAGCCTTCCTCTGTGATCTCTGCTCCATCAGACGTTGGAGAATGTGGGAACCCAACCCAAAAATAAGTGTAAAAGGGTAAAAAACATTTCTTCCACCAACGGTTTGGAGAACAAAGTGACAAAATCCAGTAGGACTAAGTTTGAGCCAGGATCAGCTCAGGGAAATATGGGGAAAAAACCAGGAATTTGGGATGTAAAACCCAGGAATTCCAGATGTGTCCCCTGCTGTAAAACCCAGGAATTCCAGATGTGTCTCCTGATGTAAAACCCAGGAATTCCAGATGTGTCTCCTGATGTAAAACCCAGGAATTTCGGGATGTAAAACCCAGGAATTTGGGATGTGTTTCCTAAGTTAAAACCCAGGAATTCCAGATGTATCCCCTGCTGTAAAACCCTGGAATTCCAGATGTGTCTCCTGATGTAAAACCCAGGAATTCCAGATGTGTCTTCTGCTGTAAAACCCAGGAATTTGGGATGTAAAACCCAGGAATTCCAGATTCAATTTTCAGGAAACCCTTTTTTATTCAATTTTCAGGAAACCCTTTCTTTCAATATTCAGGAAACCCTTTTTATTCAATTTTCAAGAAACCCTTTTTTATTCAATTTTCAGGAAACCCTTTTTATTCAATTTTCAAGAAACCCTTTTTATTCAATTTTCAGGAAACCCTTTTTATTCAATTTTCAGGAAACCCTTTTTATTCAATTTTCAGGAAACCCTTTTTTATTCAATTTTCAGGAAACCCTTTTTATTCAATTTTCAGGAAACCCTTTCTTTCAATATTCAGGAAACCTTTTTTATTCAATTTTCAGGAAACCCTTTTTATTCAATTTTCAGGAAACCCTTTTTTATTCAATTTTCAGGAAACCCTTTTTTATTCAATTTTCAGGAAACCCTCTTTATTTCCTAACTCCGTGCTGTCACAGTTTAAAGCCAAAATCCCACCAGCTTAAAAATTCCTTGGAAAAATCGAGTGAAAACATTAAAAATTTTTCCTTGATTTTCTTTTTCCTCCTCCCAAGGTCCCTCCCAAGCTGAGAAATCCCTGGAATTCCAGGACTTACGCCATCATGATGACGCTGAAATCCAGCCAGTTCCAGGGATCCCGCAGGAAGGTGAAGCCGTCTATACAGAAACCTCTGGCGATGATTTTCACGAGTGATTCAAACGTGTAAATCCCGGTGAATGTGTACCTGGCAGCGGGAAATGCGGGGGGAAAAAATGCAGTTAATCGGGTTTAAATAAAATTGGGTTTAAATAAAATTGGGTTTAAAAAAATTTGGTATAAAAAATAGAATTTTTAAATAAAGGTGGAGTTAATTGGGTTTAAATAAAATTGGGTTTAAAAAAAAAATTGGGTTTAAAAAAATTCGGTATAAAATTTTTAAATAAAGGTGGAGTTAATTGGGTTTAAATAAAATTGGGTTTAAAAAAAATTCGGTTTAAAAAAATTCGGTTTAAATAAAATTCGGTTAAAAAAAATTTGGTTTAAAGGATTAAAAATGAAAATTTTTAAATAAAGGCGGAGTTAATTTGGTTTAAAAAATAAAAAATGAAATTTTTAAATAAAGGCGGAGTTAACTGGGTTTAAATAAAATTTGGTTTAAAAAAATTTGGTATAAAAAATAAAATTTTTAAGTAAAGATGGAGTTAATTGGGTTTAAATAAAATTGGGTTTAAATAAAATTTGGTTTAAAAAAATTCGGTATAAAATTTTTAAATAAAAGTGGAGTTAATTGGGTTTAAATAAAATTGGGTTTAAATAAAAATGGGTTTTAAAAAAAATTTGGTTTAAAGAATAAAAAATGAAAGTTTTAAATAAAGGCGGAGTTAATTGGGTTTAAAAAATAAAAAATGAAATTTTTAAATAAAGGCGGAGTTAATTGGGTTTAAATAAAATTTGGTTTAAATAAAATTGGGTTTTAAAAAAATGCGGTATAAAATTTTTAAATAAAGGTGGAGTTAATTGGGTTTAAATAAAATTGGGTTTTAAAAAAAAAATGGGGTTTAAAGGATAAAAAATGAAAATTTTAAATAAAGGCGGAGTTAATTGGGTTTAAATAAAATTTGGTTTATTTAAATAAAATTTGGTTTAAAAAAATTCGGTATAAAAAATAGAATTTTTAAATAAAGATGGAGTTAATTGGGTTTAAATAAAATTTGGTTTAAAAAAATTCGGTATAAAATTTTTAAATAAAGGTGGAGTTAATTTGGTTTAAAAAATAAAAAATGAAATTTTTAAATAAAGGTGGAGTTAATTGGGTTTAAATAAAATCGGGTTTTAAAAAAAAAATGGGGTTTAAAGGATAAAAAATGAAAATTTTAAATAAAGGCGGAGTTGATTTGGTTTAAATAAAATTGGGTTTAAATAAAATTTGGGTTTAAAAAAATTCGGTATAAAATTTTTAAATAAAGGTGGAGTTAATTTGGTTTAAATAAAATTGGATTTAAAAAAATTCGGTATAAAAAATAAATTTTTTAAATAAAGATGGAGTTAATTGGGTTTAAATAAAATTTGGTTTAAATAAAATTCGGTTTAAAAAAATTCGGTTTAAAAAAATTCGGTTTAAAAAATAAAAAATAAAATTTTTAAATAAAGATGGAGTTAATTGGGTTTAAATAAAATTGGGTTTAAATAAAATTTGGTTTAAAAAAATTCGGTATAAAATTTTTAAATAAAAGTGGAGTTAATTGGGTTTAAATAAAATTGGGTTTAAATAAAAATGGGTTTTAAAAAAAATTTGGTTTAAAGAATAAAAAATGAAAGTTTTAAATAAAGGCGGAGTTAATTGGGTTTAAAAAATAAAAAATGAAATTTTTAAATAAAGGCGGAGTTAATTGGGTTTAAATAAAATTTGGTTTAAATAAAATTGGGTTTTAAAAAAATTCGGTATAAAATTTTTAAATAAAGATGGAGTTAATTGGGTTTAAATAAAATTGGGTTTAAATAAAATTGGGTTTTAAAAAAATTCGGTATAAAATTTTTAAATAAAGGTGGAGTTAATTGGGTTTAAATAAAACTTGGTTTTAAAAAAATTCGGTATAAAATTTTTAAATAAAGGTGGAGTTAATTTGGTTTAAATAAAATTGGGTTTAAAAAAATTCGGTATAAAAAATAGAATTTTTAAATAAAGATGGAGTTAATTGGGTTTAAATAAAATTTGGTTTAAATAAAATTCGGTTTAAAAAAAATTCGGTTTAAAAAATAAAAAGTAAAATTTTTAAATAAAGATGGAGTTAATTTGGTTTAAATAAAATTGGGTAAAAAAATAATTGGGTTTAAAGGATAAAAAATTAAATTTTTTAATAAAGATGGAGCTAATTCGGTTTAAATAAAATTCGGTTTAAATAAAATTCAGATTAAAAAATAAAAAATAAAATTTTTAAATAAAGATGGAGTTAATTGGGTTTAAATAAAATTGGGTTTAAGAAATAAAAAATAAAATTTTTAAATAAAGATGGAGTTAATTTGGTTTAAATAAAATTCAGTTTAAATAAAATTTGGTTTAAATAAAATTCGGTTTAAAAAATAAAAAATTAAATTATTAAATAAAAATGGAATTAATTCGGTTTAAATAAAAGGTTCTGTAAGATAATGAAGGATAAAAAGCACAAGGAGGAGCAGGGTCATGGAGGGGACAAACTCAGTGTTTTTACAAACAGAAAAAATCGGGATTTAAATGCAACAATTGGTACTTACTCCACATTCTTTGACCATTCCGGAGGGTTACTAAAAGTCATGAATACACAGTTGGTCAAAATAGTGCACATAATGATCATGCTAAATACTGTGGGACAAAGTCAAGGAGCAAAGGGACACGCTGGGAATCTTTACATCCCCTAAAAGTGCCCAAAGGTCACGGATTAATGGAAAATTCAAATTTTTTCCTATTCCCTGGAGGGCTGAGAGCCTCCACCAGTCATGGGAAATTATATATTTTTAATATATTTTTAATATATTTTTAATATATTTTAACATATTTTTTAAAATATTTTTAATATATTTTAAATTGATTTTAATAGATTTTAATAGATTGAAATAGATTTAAATAGATTTTAAATAGATTTTAAATAGATTTTAAATAGATTTTTTAATATATTTTTAATGTATTTGAAATATATTTTAATAGATTTTAAATCGATTTTTTAATATATTTTTAATAGAGTTTTATTTTTTAATATATTTTTAATAGAGTTTTAACAGATTTTAAATCGATTTTAATAGATTGTAATACATTTTTAATCTATTTTTAAAATATTTTAATAGATTTTAAATAGATTTTAAATAGATTTTTTAATATATTTTTAATAGAGTTTTAATAGATTTTAAATCGATTTTAATAGATTTTAATATATTTTTAATATATTTTTTAAAATATTTTAATAGATTTTAAATAGATTTTAAATAGATTTTTAATATATTTTTAATATATTTGAAATATATTTTAATAGATTTTAAATGGATTTTTAAATATATTTTTAATAGAGTTTTAATAGATTTTAAATCGATTTCAATAGATTTTAATATATTTTTAATATATTTTTTAAATATTTTAATAGATTTTAAATAGATTTTATTTTTTAAATATTTTAATAGATTTTAAATAGATTTTTAATAGATTTTCAACAGATTTTTAATATATCTTTAATATATTTGAAATATATTTTAAATATATTTCAAATAAATTTAATATAAATCAAATTTAACAATAACTAATATTATTCATAAATAAACTGTTATTTAGAAGTATTATTATTATTATTATTATTATTATTATTATTATTATTATTATTATTATTATTATTATTATTATTTAATTTTTAATATATTTCCAGTAAATTTCAATTTTTCATCCAGTAAAAACCTGGATTTTGTGTCTTTTTTGAGGCCAACCCACAACCTGGCATTTTTATTTGCGAACTGAACAAAAAGACAACGGGTAAAAGAGATTTCCAGGGATTACACGAAGGTAAATCGGTAATAAAAAGGATATGAATGTATCAAAATTTTAATAGCTATTCTTCTAAACAGATTAAAAGGACTTAAAATGTACAAGGCAGGTGTGGCACTAAATCGGAAGAGTGTTTTCCCTCTGTTTAGTACTACAAAGGTCTGCAGAGAAAAAAAAGAAAAAGAGAATTAATGCAGGGAAATCACAGCAGGAATTGTATAAAATTATAGATAAACGACTTCCAGGGTAAAAAACCAGCATTTTCTGGTTGGTTTTTTTTTTTATAAATAATTTGTTTTATGATGCTCCCATGAGGGTACAACACACCTGCACATCACGTGGAGAATTGTGATCACCCCGGGACAATAATTCTACTCCAAAAAATTCCGTTTTTAAGGGTTCAAACTCCCTCTTTCCAGGAGGAAATCCGGGGATTCTCCTCTCCGAGGGAGCAGAGCTGAGCTGCCCGCCCTGCTGGGGACCAGGATCCGGCAGCGGAGCCCGGAGCCTCATCCCAAAAAACATCAAATCCCGCGGCTACGGAGGGCTGGAGAGAGGGAACGGCGGGAAAACGGGACGGACCGACGGACAGACGGGACGGAAATGTGGTGGGAGAGGGAATGGCGGACAGATGGGACAGAGTGATGGACAGACGGACAGAAAAACGGGACAGAACACTGTGGACAAACAGGACAGACGGATGGACGAACAGGACAGAAACGTGGTGAGAGAGGGACTGACGGACAAACAGGACAGACTGACGGACAAACAGGACAGACTGACGGACGAACGGGACAGACAGATGGACAAACAGGACAGACTGATGGACAAACAGGACAGACAGATGGGCAAACAGGACAGACAGATGGACAAACAGGACAGAAATGTGGTGAGAGAGGGACTGATGGATGAACAAGACAGACAGATGGACAAATGGGACAGAAACGTGGTGAGAGAGGGACTGGTGGACAAACAGGACAGACAGATGGACAGACAGGACAGACTGATGGACGAACGGGACAGACAGACGGACAGACGGGACAGAGTGATGGACAGACGGGACAGAGTGATGGACAGACGGGACAGAAACATGGTGGCAGAGACACTGATGGACAAACAGGACAGACTGACGGACAGATAGGACAGACAGACGGACAGACGGGACAGACAGATGGACAGATAGGACAGACAGATGAACAAACGGGACAGACAGACGGACAGACGGGACAGACAGACGGACAGACAGGACAGACAGACAGGACACAAACGCCGTGGCAGAGCCCCCAGCCCCAGGCCAGCAGGCTCGGGTCACTCCGGAGGCGTCGGAGGCGCGAGGTTCGTTCGTTAATTAACGAAGGAAGGTTCATTAAGACCCGCGTGACCGCGGGGTGCGCAGGGAGCACCGGGAGCATCGCGGCAGGACCCGCTCCCGTGGGTGAACACCCCCAAAACTCCCAGCCAGAGGGGGGAAAAGAGCGATCTGTGTGCACTTTGACCCCGTTGATCCTGTTTTTCTCCTCTCCAGGATGAGAGCAGCCGGACTCTCCCGGCTCCCCAAGCTCACCGAGCCCAACCCCAGGGAATCCAGCGGGGCTCTGTGCCAGCACAGGCTTCCCCAGGAGAATCGCTCCCAGGAAATTTGTCATTTCCACCCTCCTCAATGAAACGAGGAGCTCCTTTGGCTAAGTGAGCCCATTGAGCGGGGAATTATTTGCAAAGGAAATCAAAATCCAGATTGTGGTTCAGCGTGGGGAGAGGGAGGTTCGTTAGCAGAACCACTAATGCATCCCCACCAAAAGCACTTTAAAGACAGCCCTGGACAGCTCTTAAATTGCAGCATCAAGAATTAATGACCAGATCACCTTGGCATGGACAAACCTTCTAAAAGGCCCCAAGTTTTGCAAAATTGCTATTACAGAACGCTCAGGGGATGCTCAATTCTAGGAATCAGCTCTTCCCCCTTCTCTAACACCACAAACTTTCCAGGACTTGCATCCCCTTCCTTTTTAAATCTCTTTTTGCTCTGGAGCAAGACACCCATCCCAGCAGGATCCTCACGGATCTCCCAGCTCTCCCCACACCTTTTGAACAAGGAAACCTCCAGCTGTGCTGGACATTCCGTGGGGACAAGGAGAGCCGGGAGAAGACAGGAATTTCCCAAATTCCCGGCTCAGCAGGCTCAGTTTCCCAAATTCCCCGCTCAGTTTCACCGCTCCGTTTCCCACGGGAGAAATCCCCAGGCAGGAATCCCGCGGCTCGTTCAGCCCAAATCGACAAGCCAGGAGTGAAGGCATCCTCAGAACAACACGGATCCCACGGAACAACACGGATCCCACGGAACAACACGGATCCCACAGAACAACACGGATCCCGAGGAACAACACGGATCCCGAGGAACAACACGGATCCCATGGAACAACACGGATCCCACAGAACAACACGGATCCCATGGAACAACACGGATCCCGAGGAACAACACGGATCCCGAGGAACAACACGGATCCCGTGGAACAACACGGATCCCACAGAACAACACGGATCCCGTGGAACAACACGGATCCCGAGGAACAACACGGATCCCGTGGAACAACACGGATCCCACGGAACAACACGGATCCCGAGGAACAACACGGATCCCACAGAACAACACGGACCCCACGGAACAACACGGATCCCACGGAACAACACGGATCCCGAGGAACAACACGGATCCCGAGGAACAACACGGATCCCGTGGAACAACACGGACCCCACGGAACAACATGGATCCCATGGACAACACAGACCCCACGGAACAACACGGATCCCAGGGACCAACACGGATCCCATGGAACACCCACCTCCAGCAGCTCGGGCACAACGACTGACTCAGGAATTTGGCACTGCCTGCTGTAACACCACAGAATCCCAGAGGTTGGAAAAGGCCTCCAAGACCATCGAGTGTAACTTGTGACCAATCACCCAGCCCAGAGCGACACGTCCAGGCATTGCCTGGACATCTCCAGGGTTCTCCAAACCTCCCTGGGCAGCTCCTTCCGACACCTGACCACCCTTTCCATACAGAAACCTGAGCTTTGATCCCCCTGCCTACCAAACATGAACTCCCTGCTCACTGGAATGTGACAGCTCCTTCTTTTCTCCCTGTGCTCAGCCCAGATTCCTCCTTTTAGACCACAAAAATTGTTGAATTATTCCTGCCTGTAAAGCAAATCATCCCTGGGCTTTTCAGCACAACCCCGACGCCGATGAAGTGTCCTAATTCCAGTCTGCTCATCGATTGCCACTGTTCCGAGACCCACCGTTCCCCCGTGTATCCTATAAAATCCCAACTAAATCTCCACTCGGCCTCATCAATAGAAAGAAAAGCCCAAAAGCCAAGAAGTGTTTGGCAATTTAAACCCCCTCTTAGTTTTTCCCTTCTGCTGCTGACATATTAAAACTTCATTTCAAAATGGCTGCAAGCTCTTAAAACATTTTCTGGATCTGGGCCAAGAACATCCTTAAGAGCTTTTAAGATGTGATGGAGCAAAACTCAAAACTCAGAGGAAGGTGGGACCTGGAAAAAGGTATTTTGCAGTCAGTTCAAGAGATGGTTGTGTCTGGTTGGACTTCCCAAAGCCTCTGTTGGTTAGAGCTGTGGAAAAATTCCATCAAGTTTTTCAAGGACCCACCAAAACCTTGGAAGTAGGTTTTGTAAAAAAGAAGTTCCTCAAAGATGAATTCTCTAAATCAATCTGCAAAATGATGACTGCGCCCGAGAGAGCGACGGAACCGACGGAGGGGTGGCAAGAACCATCCCAGCTCCAGGAAAATTGAAACCATTCCTGCTTCCTGCAGGTTTTCCAGTGAGCAGCTCCCTCTGAGGAGCGAGGGGGAGTGGGCAGGAGGTTTCAGAAGAAAACAGCTTTAGGAACAGCCTCAGAACATATGGAAGCACATTCCTGCAGCAGCGACACGATGACGGCCCTGACGCTCGATGCCGAGCAGGGGAGAGCCATGACTTCCTCCTGCTGGAAAATGAATTTACAGGAAAGCCTGTGGGCTGAAGGATTACAGACACCATCAGTCCTGACAGCAGCCCTGGGGAGAAGGGGTTTAGGTGCTGGACATGCCCCAGGAACCCCCCTGAGTCCCCTCAGCCCTGCTCAGGTGAGACCCCACCTGCAGAGCTGCCTCCAGCACAGGGAGGACGCGGAGCTGCTGGACAGAATCCCGATTTTCAGGTTTTAATGAGCTCACAATCAGCCTGAGCGAGGAAATCCACTCTGCCTCCGGGCCAGAAATAATCCTCCACCCTTCCCATCACGAGTGGGCTGCAGTTCTTGAGGAGATGGGAGCACTTGGCATTCCCTGCTCACGCTCAGCCAGCAGCTCCAGCGCGCTCCGCCTTCCCTCCAACACCTGGAGAGGACTGCAGACAAGGACTGCCAGGAAATCCAACCTCCTCTCCTCACCCTCTCCCTCTCACACTCGCTTCTCCTGCTCCTTGGAAGCCAACTGGAGAGATGGAGTGGGAGAAAAAACATCATTAAGCACTCAGGACCTGGAAAAGGCAATGAGACTCCGGAAATGAGAATAAAAAGCTGCTTTTTGAGATGGTTCCGACTCTTTCCTCTGTTTTGGCGACTTCACCGAGATGCAAACCCGGGAGTGGCGTGGTGAGCTTGCAGAGTCACCACCTCTCCCTGCAGACAGCACAGGAGAAGGTTCTGGAAGCACATCCCAGAGCCAGACGTGCCTCCCGCAGCCGGGCCCTCGCATCCCCGCGATTTCCCTGGGCCAAGGTGACATTCTGGACCCACGGGGCCCGTTTCCAAAGCTGCCATGTGACTTGACAAAGCTGCAAGTCACTCCCTTGGCACAAAGGAGAGATCCTCAGGTGCTTCTCTGGCAGCCCTAGGTGAGCTCGGACGTCCCACGCCAGCCTCACACGTGCGTGGACATCTTCCCTTTTCCCACTGAAATCCATCCCCCCCTAAACTCATCCACGGCCTCGGAATATCCAGGGACCTTCTGCTGCCTCACCACTGGAGCCTTTGGAGAAGCAGGAGCACCAAACCCCGTGCTGTGGCAGGGATGAAATTCCTGCTGAGAGAAATGGGAAGTGCTGGAGGAAAAATGCCACAAGCTGGCAAACACTGTGGCCAGAGGAAAGAACGGGGTGAGGAGTTAACAGGATCAGATTTGGGCCACAAATGGATCAGAGAGGCATAGAAGGTGGAAAAAGACTAAAAATGGAAATTTTTACATGATAAAGGTGTAGGGATGAAAGAGGAATGGAGGGTTTAAGGCCATGAGGCTGCTCTGCTCCCATTGCTGGGGCTTCTCCTGAATTCTGTTTGCTCATGTGAACAAGGAAGTTCATGCACCTGCCTTTTGGATCTATTAACTGAAATCTTTCGGGTTTCCATAATAAAAATTCAATAATAAAAATAAAAAAAAAAATAAAAAATGGAACTGGAAGGCCATTACGAGTTGTAAAACAAGGAATCCTGAAAGAATTCTTTGTGGTCCTCACAGAGAGACAAAAAGGAGCTAAAGCAGCTCCCAGACCTTCTAGCTGTGAGCAAAGGGATTCCAGATCCTCCTCAGGGTCATGATTTACCCCTCACTTCCAGACAGGGATGGGCTAGAATGTGTCCAGAGCTGGGAACAACTTGAACTCCATCCTGGAGGTCTTCTCCAACCTCAAGGGTTCTGGGACTCCCATTTAGCAAAATGAAAGTGAGCAGAGAAAAACACAAAACCTGGGCTACAGAGCCAGGACTTGTGACTCCCCCGTGCCACGGTTCTGTTTCCAGGTCACGCTGTTTCTCCTTTAAATATCAGTTTACAGGTGCTGGGAGCTTCAGCTGCTCTGTTAAAATTGCAGTTTCAGTTTCCTTAGACAAACCAAGATCACCGTGTCCTCCTCCTGCAGGGAAAAAGCAAGCGGCTGATTTGTCCCCGTGCAAAAAGCAAAGACCTGTGATGCAAAACCTTCTGGAGAGGGAGGTGGAGGTGGGGGGGGAAAGAAAATCTTGGAAAACTTCCCGTGATTCAAGCAGATTCGCAATTCCTGATGATTCAGAGAAGAGCCTTTTTTAATGGCTTTAAAAAAAAAAATAAAAAAAATAAAGAATTCTTTGTGGAAAGTCACCGAGTGTTGGAAGCAGCAAGGAGCACCCAAGGCGTGGACACAAGAGGAAGGGAGCAGAGGATGGAGGGTTTGATGCGAGGTCAGCGGGGCTGGGGAGGGTTTGCCTCCCTTTCCAGAACCTTCCCCGCGCCTCAGCCCACCAAGGATTCTGCAAGGAACGCAGGGCGCTTCCAGAGATGTGACAGATGCCTTCAGAGAGGGGAACGCAGCTCGTTTCTGCCTCTAAAAATGAAAGGTTTATTAATAGCGTCGTGTTGGGAGGCAAACGCGGAGCCGGGTGCGGCGGGAGGGGTTCCCTGTGCCTGCTGCTCGTGGTGGGCTCTGCCCGCTGCCCCTCGGCCACTGCCACCAGAAAATAAACACCAACCAGCCCAGCTCTGCCTCCGACACCACCCCTGCACCTGCACGGACGCAAAGAGGCTTCAAAACTCTCCCAGTGGGGTCACAGACCTTTCCCAAGGCCTCTGTGCTGGGTGCAAGGGCTCTGGGAGCTCTCTTGTGAGGATGAGGAGGCTCTGGCACAGGTGCCCAGAGCACCCCTGGGTGCCCCTGGATCCCTGGCAGTGCCCAAGGCCAGGCTGGAGGGGTTTGGAGCAGCCTGGGATGGTGAAAGGTGTCCCTGGATGGGCTTTAAGGTCCCTCCCAACCCAAACCACCCTGGGATTCCATGACCTGCTCTCACCACAGCCAGACTGGTTTAATGAAGAGGAAATATTTGGTAAAGAAATGAGAATTATTCCTGAGGATAACTAAGCTGCCTTCTTCCCACAGCAGCTCCTGGGGATGCATCTCCTGAAGGACCACATCAGCACCACCCAGATCCCCAAATTCCACAGCTGTGCTCTGAGGCAGAACCTGCTCTCAGCACCCTGAACAGACCAGAAAAAAACCCATTAAATTAAATAAATTAAATTAAATTAAATTAAATTAAATTAAATTAAATTAAAAAGAGAGTGAATGCAGGGCCAGTTACACTCCTCACTCCCCAAATTCTGCTGATCCCACCTGAGTGCTGCCCCGCCAGGCACGGAGTCACCTCTGAGCACGGCACAAACGTCTGTCCCAACAAAAACTCATGGAATGTTGGTCACCCAGGACGGGGATTTCACACGCAGCCAGCTCTGAACAGCCACATCACAGCTCCTGTCACCCACACAGCTCAATCTGCAGCTGCCCCAGAGCCACAGCTGAGCCTCACTGGGGCTGCTGAGGCCTCAGCTGGCTCAATTACACCTGTGTCACACAAAGCAATGAAATTAAACACTAAAGAACATCAGTTTTAACCTTCTGAAGACACAAAAATCACTGACCACGCTCCTCATTCCATCACCAGTGGGTCCCTTCGTCCCCAGCAGAGTTTGCCACGCACCCCTAAATGTCCCCCTGCCACATCACCTCAGCTCCACACAGAAATTAAGATTAAAAGCAGTTAATTTGTCTCCATTTTTGCCATGATTCTGTGTCCCAGTGCTTCACAACCATCAGCTTTGCAGTGAATTCCTGTAAGTGATGAAATACACACTGAAACCTTTACTGTTACCCCTCAATTAAATTTTTCTCATTGCTGTGAGGGTTAGAATTGGCACATTAGCACAGCTTGAACTATTTTTAGTTTCCAGAGCTTGTTCTCCTAACTCCATCCTTCAACACTGATCACATCATCTCCATCAAACCTCACAGGAAAATATGTAAGAACCCAAAAGAACCAAACCAACCCCATCCAAAACTCCCCTTTTTTTTTTGTCTTCTGTTTAAACCGTACCCAAAGAATAATAAAAAAATAAGGATAAAAGAAAAAATAAGAATAGAAAGAAAAAATAAGGATAAAACCGTACCCAAAGAATAATAAAAAAATAAGGATAAAAGAAAAAATAAGAATAGAAAGAAAAAATAAGGATAAAAAGAAAAAATAAGGATAAAAGAAAAAATAAGGATAAAAGAAAAAATAAGGATAAAAGAAAAAATAAGGATAAAAGAAAAAATAAGGATAGAAAGAAAAATAAGGATAAAAAGAAAAAATAAGGATAGAAAGAAAAAATAAGGATAAAAGAAAAAATAAGAATAGAAAGAAAAAATAAGGATAAAAGAAAAAATAAGGATAGAAAGAAAAAATAATAATAAAAAGAAAAAATAAGGATAGAAAGAAAAAATAAGAATAGAAAGAAAAAATAAGGATAAAAAGAAAAAAATAAATAAGAATAAAAAGAAAAAATAAGGATAAAAGAAAAAATAAGAATAAAAAGAAGACAATAAGAATAAAAAGAAAAAAAAAGAATAAAAAGAAAAAATAAGGATAAAAGAAAAAATAAGAATAAAAAAGAAAAAATAAATAAGAATAAAAAGAAGAAAATAAGAATAAAAAGAAAAAATAAGAATAAAAAAGAAAAAATAAATAAGAATAATAAGAAAAAATAAGAATAAAAAGGCTCTTTAGCAAACTCCTTTCTTGCAGACTCACTTTCTGGGTCATATAATAAGGGTCAAAGTCCTCCAGTGGCACAGCAACCAGCCCTTTAGGGATGTCCCCGTAGATGAAAGGCAAATTCTTGCCCGCCTCAAGGTCACTGTTTGGTTTTGGTTTGCTGTCCTCGTCGTCATCGCGGTGGCTGCTGTCCTGCTTGGAGCGCTGCTTCTTCTTCAGCTCCGCGATGTGCTTCTCGATGTTGGCCAGAGACTCCGGAGTGAAGGGTTTAAAACTCTCGGGGCCCGGTGGTGCCAGCAGCCGCGCTGCCATCTTTTCATCCTGCAGCTGCTTCTTTGCAGATGTTGCACCCCTGGGCAGCTCGGGCTCTGGGGGGAGAGAGAGAGAACAGCAGGAACGGGGTCAGGGCATGGCTGAGCTCCACACCCTGATCCTCAAATCCTCGCACAGGGGAAGCCTGGAGAGGCGGAGGGTGGGCAGAGTTATCATAAATAAATATGATAAATAAATAAAATGTAATAAAGGAATATAATAAATAAATATATTAAATAAATATAATAAATGAATATAATAAAGGAATATAATAAATAAATATATTAAATAAATATAATAAATGAATATAATAAATGAATATAATAAATAAATATAATAAATAAATATAATAAATAAATATAATAAATAAATATAATAAATATAATAAATAAAAGTAAATATAATAAGGAAATATAATAAGGAAATATAATAAGGAAATATAAAAACAGAATATAATAAAGGAATATAATAAATAAATATAATAAATAAATATAATAAATAAAATACATAAATAAATATAATAAAGGAATATAATAAATATAATAAATAAAAGTAAATATAATAAGGAAATATAAATAAATATAATAAAGGAATATAATAAAGGAATATAATAAATAAATATAACAAATAAATATAATAAAGGAATAAAAGAAGGAATATAATAAAGGAATATAATAAATATAATAAATCAATATAAGTAAATATTATAAGAAAATATAATAAAGAAATATAATAAAGGAATATAATAAATAAATATAATAAATATAATAATTAAAGTAAATATAATAAGTAAATAAAAGAAAGGAATATAACAAAGGAATATAATAAAGGAATATAATAAAGGAATATAATAAATAAATATAACAAATAAATATAACAAAGGAATAAAGCGGGTATTTATTGAAAAAGTCTTCAAGCCTGTCACTACCCAAGAACTTCCACGAGTTCCACAGCACAAGCGAGGAGCAGCTCATAGGATCTCCCCCAGCCACCCCAACCTGGGCCCTCCTGAACACAAACTATTCCAGAAAAACACATTCTGAAAAGCGACTTCATCCTCAAAGCCACAATTTTCCTGCAAAAACAGTTTGACCAGTCAAAAAAACCAGTCAAAAAGACCAGTTGCTCTCAGCCAAAGTGATTTTTAGACAAAATTCCAAGTCAGCTCAAGTTGGACCAGGGTTCCAGCACGTTCCTCGCTCCCTGGTACACACAGGAGTAACCTGGGGCTGGGTTTGGGACAGCACCAACACGAGCTGAGCACTCCCAAAAAATATTCCCTGGAGTCCTGTCAGGTGTTACTGCAGCTGGGAAAAGTTCCCTTAAGGACTTCAGCACTGGAAGAAGTGTCCAAGGAGAATTCCAAATGTTCTTTTGGGAGGGCTCACCTGCCCTGGAGCACATCACAGCTCTGCCACAGGAAGCCAAATCTCACCCTAAAATTTTACAGATATAGAATTACATAAAGAAATTCCTCCCTGTGAGGGTGGGCAGGCCCTGGCACAGGTGTCCAGAGAAACTGGAGCTGCCCCTGGATCCCTGGAAGTGCCCAAAGCCAGGCTGGACATTGGGGCTTGGGGCAACCTGGGATGGTGGAAGGTGTCCCTGCCACGGCAGGAGTGGGACTGGACAATCTTTAAAATCCCTCCCAACCCAAAACCATTCCATGTCTCTATCAATCCTCAGGATTTCTATTCATCTGAGACCATAAAACTAAAACAATTTAAAAACACTCCCACGAGCACAACAGTAACTGCTAAAAGTTCAATTTCTCTGATTATTTGGGCTAAGACACAGGGTCTTGTTCGCACCAGACACACCCCAAATGACAAAATCCAAGGGAGAGGAGCAGGGCACAGGTGAGGAAAAGCTCCCAGAGGCTTCAGCTTCCCCTGGCAGGGTTTGCCCCATCCCTCCAGGGAGCCCCTTGAGCTCCTCCACCCACTGCCAGCAGCAGCAGAGCGGGGAGGAAGTTGGTTCCCCCGAATTCAGCCGCCCACAAACGCTCTGCAGCTCCGCTCCTCGTGCCAGGCTCTGGCTCCAGAACCAGCAGCAGGAATATATTGCATTTCTGAGCTGCTGCTGCTGCTGCTGGTACCTCGTCAGGCTGTTCCCACTCCGGGAGGAGAGGGATGACAGAAACCCTGCACTGATGCAACAGCACTGCAGTGCTGCAGGCTGGGAGAGAACCCAGCCCGCTGCTCGGGGAGGGACCCAAACACCAAATTCAAGAGGAAAAGCACAAAAAAAGCACGAGGATATGGCACAGGATGAATCCCAAAGCTACCTGGAGCTCCCTGAAGCAAGGGAAAAAGATGACCAGTGAGGTCAGATCTTCTAAGGCAGCACAAACACTGCATCCAAATAAATATGAAAGATCTGGAGAGAAGAATGACTTTCAGATTCCTTGGGAATGATGACACGGGGCGGAATCGTTAAAATCCTGCTATTTCAGCACGAGGTCCAGCACCCACAGCCTGCCCAGGCCATGAGGATTGTGCTGTATTCACGTGGGAGGAACTCAGGGATGCCAGAGCCACCAGCAACAGAACCACAACTCTCTGGAGAGCAGTGGGATTCAGGAATAAACACACAATAAATAAGCAAGGATACCTGCAGATGCCAGCCCTCAACACAGCGTCCCCAAAGCGTTCCGAGGGATCTCAGGTTATCCCTCTGCTGTGACAGAACCTTTTACACCCTCTGCTCCACACGTAAATCTGAAGCTGCAAAACACACCTAGGGCTTAAATTCTGCTTCCAGCTCAGGCTTTATTCCTTTATTTAGATCCAAAAAAAAACCAACCTGGAGTACAGATCTCCCTCCTTATGTAATTCCAGAGCGCAGCAGGGCCAGGATTCTCTCCCTCTAAACCTGACTGGGTATTTCTAAAGTAATAATAGTAAAGACTCAAAAAAGATGGCAAGAAGGGGAGAGAAGAGCCGGTATCTTGGTCACATTATCTCTGAGATATCACCAAATGGCCTGCTGATATTAAGGAAAATTAATTTATTCTATTCTTGCAGCATTTGCATGCATTTAATTACCAAATTTCCCACATACTGTGAAACTATAGAGCAGCATTGGGGATGTGGTCTAATTGAATGGCACAGATAAATATGTAAGGCCTGAATTTAGAAACCAAAGTAGCTCAGGGACACAGCATAAAAAAAGGCAAAAAAAAAAAATGAAGGCACGAAGGAATTTGTGCAAAATTACACAACCCACAACTGGAGGCACTGATTTGTCATTTAAAGGAAAAAAAACCACAACCAAACCCAAGAAACCAACACCATTCCCCAAATCTGGTTCACACGTGAAGTTTCTCCAAGTTTGGCATTTTGGAATTATTTACAGGGCTGATTCTTGGGTACTATCAACACATAACAGTGAGCTGAGGGTCATTTGTCTTCCCAATAAATTATCCCACACTAAGGGAATGCACAAATTAAGATGTGTGGCTCCACCTCATCTCCACCAAGGAAGAAATTCCACAGCTGGGCTGCTCTGCCTGGCTTCTGGAAAGCTAAAAAAACCTTGGAAATGTTATTTTCCAACCAGGAATGGTCCTGCTGCCATTGGAGACATCCTAGGATTTCTTTCAGCCCTTCCCACATCAGGTTTTTCAATAGAATTGTGACACACAAAAGGTGTCCAGGTGAGTTAGGGAAGAGAGATCCAGGTGAGCTGGGTTAGGAATCCACGGATTCCCGAGCTGGGAATGACACTGCACACCCAGGGAACTCGGATTTGGGTGCACACAACACACACATTGCTCAAATGCCAAAGATTTGCCACCAGAAACTGCTGCACTGAGGTGCCCAGTTGCTAAGACTTAATTATTTTTTTTTTTCCCTAAATGTTCCCAGCAGTCCATTTACTGGTACATTATGAAATATTCCAATAAATTATTCAAGCTGATAGTCAAAATAAATTAAAAAACACTTTTGAGGCAATTTCCTTGCTTTAATACACTTCTTCCTTTATTAATTACCGAGAGTCAGCCATTCAGAGGGTGTCTTTGAGAGAGAGGGACTTTCTGTGTGAATTTTTATATAACCCACATGGACACATTTTCCTCTTGATTCCAACATGAGCACTGAGGCAGGAAGGGAAACGTGGCATAAGATGAACAGCACCCCGAAATCCTGCTGCAGGAGAGCCTAAAAGGCTTCAAGCAAACCCAAAATATTCACCCATGGAGAAATCCATGGCTGGAAGTGGCCTTCAGCCTCCAGATCCCCATCTGCAGTGCATCCTGTGTCTGGAACAATTTTATCAGTGAAAAGGGTCGGTGCTGTGAGCAGCAGCAACTCTGTCCTTTAGGAAAGCTCTGATGGCACATTTGATGCTAAAAAGCGGAAGAAAAATGAAATATTTCCACTCCCAAGCAGCATTTGTTGCTGGGTGTTTCCCTGTGTAAAATCTTGTGGAAGTTCCCTTGGCTCAACAGGGGAGCTCAAGGACAGAGCTGGGACAGGGCAGGGAAGTGCTCGTGGTCTTGAAATGGCCATGGGAGACCTGAATTTGGACAAACACACCTCTAAATGAAAAAAAAATGATCAGAAATGTACAGAGGAAAGAGAAGGAGCAACCAACAGCAACAGAAAAAATATGAGAATTGTGAAATGGTCGAATGGTTTGGGTTTGAAGGGACCTGAAAGCTGATTCTGTTCCACCTCCTGCCATGGGCAGGGCACCTTCCACCATCCCAGGCTGCTCTGAGCCCTGTCCAGCCTGGCCTGGCCACACAGAAAACATTCTCATTTAACAATATTTAACAATATTTAACAACCAACTCGTGTTTATCTCCAAACTCACACAGAACTTGGAGGTTCACAGCCTAAACAACCTGAAGTGCTTCAATTTCCCCCTTTTTAAATTCAAACTTCTGAACAAAGAGCTGTTCAAAATAGCTTTTGTGCAAGAGTTCAGCCACTAACCCAAATTTAATTCCTTCTTCAGTTCATTCAGCCCATCCATGACCCATAAAACAGGAGTCAGGGAATGGTTATTTTACACTATAATTTTGGGGGAATTAATTTCTTGCT